AATGTGAATAGATCAATAGGTACCACTTTGGCGGGAAGGTAGTCATGCCGGCCACATGACCTTGGAGGTGTCTATGGACAATGCCGGCTCTTTGGATTAGAAATTGAGATGAGCACCAACCCCCAGAGTCGGACACGACTGGACTTAATGTCAGGGGAAAACCTTTACCTTTATCTAACCTGTTAATAAATAAATAAATAAATAAATAAATAAATAAATAAATAATCTATTTTTAATTTTCTAAAACCAGTTAGCCTTTCATAGATATTATTTACATACAATAATTTTACTCACTTATTACACACTTCCATTCAATCACCTTAGATCTCTAGATGTGATTTGCAAAAGAGAATTTGGTTCGACCATTATGATTTTAGAAGTTCTGAATAGTGTTCCAGAAAAATAAAACTGCTCTTAAAAGAAACGCCTGTAAAAATCTGCCATGCTTTTAACAAATCTGCTGCCCCATTCACTCAAGTCCAGAAAGTTTTCAGTCACACTTACACATATTAACCCTTTCTCACCAAACCATTTAGTGTTGTGGGACTTTTTACTATTGGATGCAAACTATCAAATGACATTTTTATCCACATTTTGAAGTACAAAACACCAGGGTTCATTGTAGTGATTAGTAAAAAAAAAAGTGTGGAAACATCTATAACTCTAAATTAAGGGAATGAATGTTAAGTATTGGAGCGTTCAGGATATGCTCAACTGATGGCAGCCAAAAGTCAACTGATTTTTCCATGGAAATCTGCTTTTTGGAACTACTGAGGGAAACTGGAAGAAGAATTTGTGTTGTACTCTTTCATATTTAAGGTCTACCACTTCTTTGAGAGAAATGTGCCAGTTTCCTCGAGCGAGGGAAAATACATTTTGCAGCCTCTGGTGTAAAATACAGTCGAACTCAGAGCAGATAACAGGGTAACTGTCTGATGCAGATGTAGACTATCAGGCATATCTAGGAGATTACATCTGTACCCTGCAGGTGCTCCACTAGTACAAATTAAGAAAAATGGTGAAAATATTCATATTTTTTACTGACTAGAAAAGTGCATAGTCATTCCATTGTATTCGCACATAGCACATCCATCGAGTCTTCTCCAGTAGCTCCTCCCACCATCTTTAATTGCTGTTTCGCTGGCCACTGAGTTGGAGGTAACCAGCCAGCCAGTTACAGCTCCATCATGTTTTATCATCTGGTCTGAGACTGGTGCGCCAGCTGGGCTACCCGCAACCATCTAATTGGCTACAAAATAGTGCCCTAGTGGGAATAGTGTTCTGCCAGACTAGCCAACTAACTGGCCTGTTGAATGTGCTCATGGACTCCGAGGGTATGTTAAGTATTGTTATTTTTACTTTCTTTTATATCTTTTGGGTTCCCCCTCCCCTCCTTTTTGTCTTGGGTTGATTGTTGTTTTAATAGAATGTATATGGAGCTGGGGCAGCAATACAAGTTGTACAGGACAGAGGAAAATATGGTGATGGCAGGGTCACATGTCCTTATAGAGTAGTGGTCCTCAACCTTCCAGTGCCGTGACCCCTTCATACATTTCCTCATGTTGTGGTGATCCCCAACCATAACATCATGTCTGTTGATAATTCATAACTGTCATTTTGCTATGAATCATCATGTAAATATGTGATATGTGGGATGTATTTTCATTCACTGGACCAAAGTTGGCACAAATACCCAATATGCCCTAATTTGAAAACTGGTGGGGTTGGGGGGGGGGGGTTGATTATGTCATTTGGGAGTTGTATTTGCTGGGATTTATAGTTCTCCTACAACGAAAGAATATCCTGAACTCCACCAATGCTGGAATTGAACTAAGTTTGGCACACAGAACTCCCATGGCCAACAGAAAAGACTTGAAGAGTTTGGTGGGCATTGACCTTGAGTTTTGGAGTTGTAGTTCACCTACCTCCAGAGACCACTGGACCAAATGATGAATCTGGACAAAACTTGGCATGAATACTCAATATGCCCAAATGTGAACACTGGTTTGGGAAAATAGACCTTGACATTTGGGAGTTGTAGTTGCTGGGATTTATAGTTAACCTACAATCAAAGAGGACTCTAAACCCAGCCCACAATGGATTTGCAACAAACTTGGCACACTATCTACATGGACAACATTGAATTCTGGTGAGAATTGGGGAGGCTGTTTTTGAATTCTGGGAGTTGTAGTTCACTAACACCAAAAAGGAAGAGAAGGACAGGCAGAGAGATCTTAAGCCTTCTCTGCCAAAAGGGTTCCTAAGACCATCAGAAGTGAGTATTTTCTGATGGTCTTTGGTGACCCCTCTGAAACCCCCTCACGACTCCCCCAGGGGTCCCGGCCCCCAGGTTGAGAAACACTGTTATAGAGAAAGGAGATAATACCTTATAGAGGAAGAAGAGAATGCCAGTCTCACCTTCCTGTCACCCTGCTACCTTAGTAACTTGAAGAATGAGCCAGGCCACCTTTGCTATTAGGTAATTCCAGGTCAATTAAAAATAAATCACACATTATATATGAACTCCCTAAAGATGAGAGGGTCAACCTGTCATGCTTCAATGAAACTTGGCTGTGCAATGATCATGCACCAACCTGAGCTTAGGCTCACTTGCCACATACTGTGTTAGTGAGCAGATGAGGGCAAGTGGGCCGGGGGGGGGGGGCTAGCTGTGGTCTATAAAGAAAGATGTTATTAACCTGAGGAAATTATCTACTACGGAGCTGGCCCACATTGAGTGTGTGTACCTGAGTATGAAAATGAGGGAAAGACTTGGTGTAATCCCCCTCCCCCACCTAACAGACTCCCCAGCCAAGCTCATGGAACTCAGAAGTGGTGTTGTTGGAATCACCCAAACTTTTGCTTCTGGATGACTTCAACATACCAATGGAGGCCAATTTGTCAGATGCAGTTTGGAACTTTATGGTATTCATCACCATGACAATCATGAGTCTATCCCAAATAGTTTTTCTAAAAACATGAGCCATCAATTGAGCACTTGGAGACATATCTCCAGTTACCTTTGGGTTTTATTGGGTGCCCTCTAGTTTTGTCTCTTCTACAAGAATCGAATCTTCCCATCCAATCTACCTCATTGGAGACTTGGAGAAGTGACTGGAAATTATTTAGCAAATAACAAATATAAACAGAATAAATTATCTCTAGCAATTGATAATATCTGCAAATATAGAGGAAAATAGTACATTATGACTATGTATTATTTTACTGAATGACTAATTAGATAAAACACAGAGAGCATTGTTTAATGAAGTGCACTCCTGGATTTTAACCATTCTATGTTTATTTGCTATACTGGACAAACTGAAGGACTAATTCTTTGGAAGCATTTCCCTTATTTCCCAATTTTACCCAACATGAGAGAAGTACTTCTCTTTCTTTTCCAATTTTATTCAACAAAACATTGATCTGATCATAATAGCAGTGTTCAGATAATACTGTTTTGAAAAGATCAACCCTTTCCCCTTCTTTATGGTAAATTTAAATTTATGTTGATATTTTTGGAGGAGGCATAAAAAAGTCTGGATAATAATAATTATTATTATAACTTACAGGAAAATGAGAGTGTTGTTTTTTAAAGAAACAGGTTGATACAATGCAGTTTCATGAAAAGTTCACTTTATTCAAATATATAATATTTATTTCTGGACATAAAACAGAGCTAAGAAGGGTCATGTGCTTTACGTATTTACCACAGCATGTAATCCCACTCCTTAGAAAAAGCAAAGATTTCTTCTAATCAAGGCAGTGTGTCAGTGATATCCCAGAGTTAATACAGCAAATATTTGAGGTATTATGTTTTGTTTTTGCTATTTTTTCCTGCCCAAGGTACACACCTTGTTGTTCTGAACTACTATCAAGTTTTCTTTATTGTGTTCTTCCTATTAAATAACAATCATACAGTCACAAAAGCATTAACTTTTGTTGACTATTCTGATATTAAAAATAAAGCAGAGGGGTGAGTGTGTCACAGCACAATTCTGTATACAAACATTCAGAAGTAAATCCCATTGATTTCAAAAGGACTTACTACTGTAATGTATTCTACTAGTAAATAAGATATAGGACTGAAGACTTTGAGCAAAACCCAGTTGTCAACCCCCATTAGCGGAGACCCATTGAATCAGGGGTTACTTGCTAAGGACATTATCACACGAGGCTCGTAAAATGGTTTTGGGCACTGCAAATCCATCTTGCTTGAGACTGTAATATGCCTTTTTAGCCCCTGCTTTTAACACACAAAGCCTTTTTCAAAGCACATCAAGAAAGATCAGAGTGTTTTCAGAAAGACTTGGTGTAACATAATTTGACAAAACTCAAAGTGTGTTTAGTTTGCCACAACTGCTGGGATATAAATCCTCCCAATCTGTCCATTCCTCTTCTTCATAGATGCCCTTCCTTTTTTATTTTTTCCCACATGAGAATTTCACAACTCCAAAAGTTCACAGTCTCACAAGAATGAGCTTTTATCTGTGAGAGACATGTGGGTGCGCACTTCTGCACTTCCGTGTTTTCAACATACTGAAGCAGCATCCCTGTGAACACTTAACATATTAATTAAAAAATAAAGAAGCATTTTGCAATTAAAGACATTTTCTATTTTGTGGGTTTTGAGGGTAGGTTTGACTTGGAAACCTTATTTAGTGACGCACAACCACGCATGAACAGGACGTTTTGCAAAATGGTCTTGCAAGGAAAGGAGATGTTTAATTTTCAGCTACAGAGTTGCATAGTTACTTAAATTCAAGAAACCGACAGAGTGAGGAGAAGTCATGGCTTTGCAGCCAGAGGTCTTCTCTGTCTGGAAATTTAAATGTGAGCAGATTGGGAACAGAAAACTGTGTACGACAGCCACAGCCACAACACGCCTACAAAAGACATCACTGGCCCCAAAGTTGCTGGAGAAGTGGCTTGAAATTACAGCATGGCTGAAGAAATGTTGAACACAGAACTAAAACAGCCTCCCCCCGTCCCCCCAAATTTTCTAAAAATGACTGCTTGCCCATTAGTTGCAAATTGGTTTGCAGTGAGTTTGCAATGTCATGCAAGTCTTTTCAATTGTGGCTAAGGACCCTACAGTACATATTACAAACCTCATGTGATAACATCTATAGTCAACAATCATATCTGTCATCACCTGACAACCGAAAGATCGCATAATTTTCCACTACATATCTGCCAAAATAAAGACGTGAGACTTAAAGTGCCATCTGTTGTCTTATTATATATACAAATAAAAACCAAAAACAGGTAAATACAAATGTCACCTCTGCTTCACAAAATTTGAAACCTCTTTTATCTAAAACTGAGACTTTATATTTTGAGTTCTGTTCTTGCTACCTGCTTTAACAGGTAACTAGGAGCACCATTTATGAGAGACACTCTTTAATCTAGGACACCTTTGTGCATAATGCTTCACATTCTGCTCGAGAGTCAAATCTATTTTGGTTCCCTCCACAGCCACCATACCAAAACCGGGAACACTTGGCCAGATTGTTATCAAAATACCATTTCAGGATGTAATCTTCACATTCACCATTGTCCATTTCACCATTGCAAGCATCTAGAAGGAAAACATTTACAGTTAGCAACATGAAATCAAGGATGCTTACACCATTAATGTGCAACTGTGTAGACAGCTACAATACTAGAGATCATGATTTGGAGATATATGTTATTTTTAGTGTCTGTCTTTGGCTTTGAAACCCCCTTTAGGATGTTTCTGTCCTTGCTATTTTGCCATCAAGCTGACAAAGACATAGTTAATCCAAAGTGCCTTGGAGAATTGAAAATTTTGAAAGGATTTTTTTAAAGTATGTTGTGCACTTTAATAGAACTATTTTATTTGGGGGGGGGGACTGCTTTTACCATTTTTGATTGTATCTTTTAAATTGATTTAGCATTGTTAGTAACTGAATCCCATATTTTAATGCTGATATTTTGTATGATTTAACTATATTTTACTTGTTTTAGTTTATAAACTAGCTTGTGTCCCAAATCCACAGGACGTCCAGTTAAAATCATTAGAGAAATAATAGGGATTGTGCAGTCCTCCAGCCAGCAAAATGCAAATCCTATCATGCCTAAGTATAGATTATTTGAGCTAGGGCTGCTGGGAACTGTCCTGAGTCTCCTTCAGGGTTCAGAAGGGAGGTATACAAATACTGCAAATAAATAAATAAATAAATAAATGCAGTTCCACAACATCTGGAGTGTTAAACAAGTCCCTCTCCTGGCAAATGGCATACAAAAAATTGATTGATCCTAGTTTTGCACCAAATGTCAACAAAGGTGAAGTCATGTTTACTTCTTGGAGAAGCACATTCAAAAAAGTCAGTGAGCTGCGAAGAGGGACCTCATCATACAACTGATTTTCAGCGTTGTATGACGTTTCTGCCTCAGTTGAGTCATAGAGCCCCACACCGCCCATCAGATGACATAGGCTCCCTTCTAGCGTGGCTCCATGGCACGCACAGAGCATAAGCATCCTACAATACTGCATCGGAAAAATGGGAGCCTCCCTGTGCTCCATTAGGAACAATGGGGCTAGCGAGAGGGCAAGCTGCACGGAGAGGCTCCCCCAGGTGTGATGGAAAAGTGTTGCTGCCAGCAAGGTGGGACACAGGGTGCTGGGATTGTGCCACTGCCCCGCCAATTTGCCACAGAAGCTAGAGAATCAGTATATGGGGCCTCATCAATGTGAAGAGGTCTGAAGTCTCTATCTTATATGAGCATCTACCACATATTCCTCCTCAATTGGTGGAATAAGGAGATGGTCTTATCTTTTCCTCTTCCCAGTCTGCCCATACAGACACATCCAAAAGCACCAATACTAACAGCTAACCCAGAAGCAGAATGGATATTACATTATCTCTAACTACTTGTCTTAGTGGCATCCTGGAAGAAATGTTTAGCACCAATTCTGGATAAATTTCATATTTTCAAGTGAATTATCATAACCCAGACAAGAGGCACTGTTTCTAATCAGCTGCCTATGTCAACAAATGCCAACAGCGGGTGCATCTGCTGAAGCTAGGATATGGAGGTCTATTTAACTAAGACAATACAACTGAATCAAGAGGGACCTCCAGACTATGAACCTTCTGTTCCATGGGAAATGCAGTCCTATTCAAATTATGCTAGCTAACCAATTCGCAGATCCACGAACAACCTTTCATATAAAAAACTCTATCCTAATTCCATCCATAACTATTTCTAGGCATTTGATTCCTCCAAGTAGCAATGAAAACTGGGGCAAAGTGCCGCTATCATACATGAATATTTCATCCCAATTCCTCTGTTGACCTCTCCTACATGGAATAGAACTATGCAGGATAGAATGCCACAATTGTTATGCCCACTGGCCATTCTGGTTAGGGATGATAGCAACTATAGTCCACCACATTCTGGAAGTCATCATGCTCAAAACACAAAACCTCACTACAGCACAAGGCATTAAACGGTGAGTGAAGTCATTTAAATTTTTTGGAAAATAGAAAAGGTTATCAGATGGGAATCAGTACAAGTGAAGCAAACTTCTTGCCATAGTTTTGTTTAATGTTCAAAGAGGGAGTTCACATTGTCTTTGGGACTGGCAATGACCTCAAGACTCCCCTTCAATTTTAGAGTGTCTGCTGGACTTTAAAGAGGGAGGGGACTCTGCTTGGAACATCACATTATTATTTTATGAGCAATTTCATCTGGTACCCAGTCTATGCTCTGCAGGATTTATTTCATAATTACTCCATCTTTGTCCTACAGTTGCTGGCTTTGGATTTCACTAGAGAAGGATAAACAAACAGCTGCTTGTAACAACAGCTCAGGAGTAGGTCACAGGCTCATGAACTCATTTTCCTCCAGCACTCTTTGTATCCTGGTTAACTTAATAAAAGTGAATCAGGATATGGTCAGTCCTGTTATTAAGCTATAAAGAAACAAAGATACGAGTTTACAAATTCTTTGGGAAGTCTTTATATCTGAGCTGGCAAGCTATCTTTGTGTTGTAAATTGTCACATAAATAGCAGATATAATCTTTAACTAAACATGAGGGATTAGATACAAGTAGTTTTGTTGTTTCGTTTTTTGGATTTGACCACACAAGCTTCCAGCAGAGGAAGGAAGTTTTTGGATACAACTCATGATTTCCAATTGATCCAGACTATGCACAGTATTTGGGAGTCCATTTGAACCACAAGACTGTCAAATTTATACAAATAAAAATGTAATGTTCGTTTGTGGGATTAACATAACTCAAACACTGGATGAATTGATACCAAATTTGGACACCTATCAAGCCAACGAGTGACCATCACTCATAAACACACTGAAAAACACAGCGGGAGAAACTTAAAAAGTCAAAAACAAAAATTACATTACAATGCATGCACAAAACCACATATATACACAAACACACATATATACACATATACACAAACATACACACACTCATATATACACACACAATACACATATACACAGGCTGGTCCACAGCAACGTGTGGCAGGGGATGGCTAGTCTATATAAATAAAAATGTAATGTTCATTTGTGGGATTAACAGAACTCAAAAACCACTGGATGAATTGACACCAAATTTGGACACAAGACACCTAACAACCCAATATATGTTCTTCACTAAAAAAATTGATTTTGTCAATTTTTGCTGGGATTTATAGTTCACCTACAATCAAAGAGCATTCTGAACCCCACCAATGATGGATCTGGACCAAACTCTACACGAATACCCAATATGCCCAAATGTGAACACTGGTGGAGTTTGAGGAAAATAGAATCTTGACATTTGGGAGTTGAAGTTGCTGGGATTTGTAGTTCAACTACAACCACAGAGAATTCTGAACCGTACCAACAATAGAATTGGGCCAAACCTCCCACACAGAACCCCCATGACCATCAGAGTGGGCCACAGTAACGCGTGGCAGGGGACGGCTAGTGCAATATAAAATGAGGCTAGATGTCCATGTGTATATGGCACTACTATGTGAGATGTTTAGGAGAATGCTCTTCTGGGTGCTGCAATCCACCCTAGAGTCTTAGCAGAGGAAATGAGAGAAATGTTAACTAACAAGGCTAATGCTAAAGGTGTATAGGGATTTGGATTGGGAATCATGCAGCATTCTAGATGTGCTGAGCATTTTTTACTATTTGCTATGTTTGCTAGTGCTAGGGCTGTTGAGACTTGCAGTCCACTAACATCTTGAGGGCTGCTTTATTCCCCATCCCTGGATTTGATGGATAAGTGGATAAAATATGCACACCTGCTACTCTTTGTACTTGCTCTGAACGTCGTTGGTCCTGTTTTCTTCTCCCACCCTGGATACTAATATTTCTGTAATAGTCATTCTTGTTATGATCATGCTCTTCTTCTTTATGTTCCACATGTTGTTTGTTAGCTTCCATAATTTCATCTTGAAAGTTTATTCTTGGTAATTCTGATGGCAGGGAAGCATCTCTGTACTCCAATTCTGGGAAAGGAATACTAAAAAGGGGAAAATAGGTGGAGATTATGCTTCTTAAAAACAAGATATATGGAAAATATTATTCTGAATTAATTGACCCAAATGCCATCCCATCTCAAGCTTTCTGTCTCTGCCAAAGCCAATGTAAATTCTGGCTCTTTACTTCCAAAAGAAATGAAGAACACAGTGTTGGTACCTGTCAGTCCTTGCTGTTAGTTGCTGATAAGTATCTCCCCGATCTAGACTCTCACATTCTTCCTGCAGTCCTGGTGGAGGATAAGGGTTTATTCTGCCTGTGGAAAAAAATGGAGGAAAGGGGCATAGAAATCAAGATGCTAAAATATTTTTGAAACACTGAATATGCGTCTACTTCTAACTATCATCCCAAATATACAGTGCATTTTCATCCAAATTGTACAGTATCGTACATCCCAAATATCTCGTTCAGTGTACTAGAGTGAAGGCATTGGCAACATTCAGATGCTCTTTCTCCATTAAATTAATTAAAGTGTGGAACACAACAATTGCCTGCCCTTCCTTTGACCTTTCTCACATGTTCCATCACATGATAAATTTGTCATAAAATAACTAGGTTTTGTAAATTGAGGATCTCTGGCTTTACAATATACAATCAATCAGCCCTCCTTATCCACAGATACTGTATACTGTATATGGATGGAAAGGCAAAGTTTGATTTTGCCATTTTATTCACTACTTTACTACACCATTGTACATAACAGGACTTAAGCACTGACAGGTTTTAGTATCTAAAGGAGGTTCTGGAACCAAACCTCAGTGGATAACAAGGGCCTATGGTATTATTTAAATTATGTCTTTCTGTCTTATATTCCTGGTTTGTTTGGTCACATTCGATTAGTATTATCCAATTAAAGCATAATGGGGAATATACATTTAAATTAAGCCAGGATCTCTACACTGAAGTCTCTGTACTATTACTGGAACAGGAGAGAAAGAAGAAATCCACCCAATAAGTTCTGAACTGTGATGATTCTCTGAATGCAAGCACTGAGAGAGGCCTCCAACTTCAAACCGAGGGGTTCAAAGAGTTCAAACAGATATGGATGTTCATAGAAGAGGAGTAGAGAACATGTAGCTCTACCACTCCCATTAGCACTTGCCAGAATAGATAACACAAAGGAATTACAATTCAACAGCATCTAATAGATCACCCATTTCACCTCCCTCCCAGAAAATTTGGTATCCAAGACCTTTAAATTTATAATATTTAGCCCTAAAAGACCATACATAAATCTTTTCAGCAGTAAATCCAGTTAAGAGATGCTGCTCAACGAAGAATGTGATCAATGTTACTTTTTTTGCTGGGGGATAAAGATTTCACAACAATATAATTAGAAAAAATAGATTTGAATTTTGGCCAATGTATGCAAATATCACCCAGGTAGTATTGCTCGTTTTCATATACTGGAAAATCTTTTTTTTTTAAGATAAGGGTGAAAGATAAGCAGTATCTTGTAGATAAACCATGTGGAAGTCAATATGATACAAAGAAACAGAAAGCAAAGTTTAAAATGCAGGCTTTCTGTTTCTGTGCAGGCATGAACATGTTTACATACTACTGTCACTGAAATGAATACAACTAAACATGTTTAAATTGCATTATTTAAACATTAATTGAAAGCAAGGAACCCCTAACATTCACTCAATGGTATGACACAAAAGGAAGCAAATCAAGTTTTACATTGCTTACGTTTTAAAAGATTTAAGAAGGCGCGACTAAATTTCAGGGCATACGGCAATTCGGGTTTATTCACCCTGCCAAGTTGCAACAGATGTTGTTCCACTGGCACACTAGACAGTTCCGTCATCTCAGTATCATCAGCTCCACTTCCAAGTGCTAAGGTGAACATGGTGAACCCTTGGCATTTCGCTTCTAGCGACATTTTTCTCAGCTTCTCTCTGTCCCAGGAACTAGTCTTACTCCCAAGTAGCGTAACAATGACCCTGTCTTTTCTTGGGTTGGGGGCTTCAAGAAACACATTATTAACTGTCCACTCTAGTGCATGACCCACAGCTGATGGTCCTTCCAGCTGGTTTATCGATTCTTGGATATGCATTTTCACCAAGTCTTTACTGTTATATGTAGTTAAGTCAAACTCCACATGCACTGGGCTTGAGAATCTGTCCACTGTGAAATTTCGTGGGGCTTGTTGCACCAAAGCCACTCTTGCACCACCATCAGACTCTATGGGGAGGGAAGTAATAACAAAATGATCCACCATGTTGCTCACAAATTCCTTCATGGTCTCAAACTCCTCACTTCCGACATTCGAAGAGCTGTCCATGATGTATGTTATATCCATGTCTATTAAAATAGGGAAATGTGCCGTCATCTCACATTCTGGAGCTGGGTTACACTTATCTGTGGAAGAAACATGAAACATTCATTAACTAAAGGGGTGCACTATTTATATTTTGCTTTGCTTTACTGTTCAAAATATTTCAAACAAACAATTTGGAAATGGTCTCTCTTTGAGGCAAAAGGTAGACAAAACAAACCCAACCATACTTATAGCCCATATTTTAAGTGACTATATATTGCTATACAGATATTTCTCCCTCAAACTATGTCTGGGCTAGTGCAATGATCTGTTGGATGCATATGGATATTTTACTTAATCCACCGGTTCTTATATTGTTCTTTTTATAATAACAATGTAAGGATATAAATGCAATAATTATGTTTTTCCTAATCATTCTTGTGTTTCATTCTGGATTTGGCCATGATATCAACTCACAAAATTATTCAACTATATATCATTAAGATTTAAGTGATTTTTAAAAACCAGGACAAAAATAAAAACAGAAAAATGTGAATATGTTATATGTTTCCCTCTCCCAACACTTCTGGTGCCTCCATTTGTTTTTAAATATTTCTTTTTAAATATTTATAAACAAAAGCTGTACTCCAGCCATTTATAGATCAAGCCTTTGTATACCACTGAATTCAAAACTGTTTCATATCACTACTTAATCACTATCACTAGTAACAAAAAATCTTCTGTTGAGCATTTAGAAGTACAGTTTAGTCATCTAAAGAAAAAGAGTGGGCATAGTTACCAACATAATGAAAACACAGCAAATAAGAGAGTTCTGGGTATGTATTATTTTCAAGGCCAGGTTCTCTGTAATTCTAGAAATTTCGGGAATGAAGGAAAACTTCACTGGGGACAGAATTCTAATGAGGGGAGGCAGGCCCATAGCCAAGCTTTCGATTCGGGGGGGGGGGGCTGAGTTTTTTTCAGGCCCGTAGCCAGGATTTTGATTCGGGGGGTGCTGAGTCTGAGTGAAAGAGGGTCTACCCTAGCAAACCTTTTGTATCATTACCCCAATACCCCCATGCATATGGGATATATTGAGTATGGTGATCAGATCATGATATGAATAAACATAACAGTTTAAATAATGCACCAGTAAGACCTTTCGTGAACCACCATGAGAATTTCGGGGGGGGGGGATGAAGCCCCTCAAGCTACATGCCTGAGGGGAGGTTAATCTCCTCATCCCCCCCCCCCCATAGCTAAACTTCAGCTTGCACCTAGTTATATTTCATTCTTAATGCATTCATTTCAAGCTCTATCTCACATCTGGGTTCTACAATGGTCAAATGTAATCATCATCAACAACATCATCTTTATTTGTACCCTGCCCCATCTCCCCACAGGACTTGAGGTGGCTCACAACATAAATAAATAACAATAACATACAAGAAATAAAATGAACAAATTATTATACATCAAGCAATATAAATAACAACCAAGGTAAGTTAAAACACAAGTAAGCACCATTAACAATAACAGTTATCAAAATATTAGTTAAAATATTTCTTGATCAAGGCTGAAAATCCATATTAAATTTCCGAGGGCGTCTTGGGATCACATTCCAGTGGTGCATGAGGCCAGACCCAAAATAATGGGATGAAAAAGATCTAGGTATTATAACTTATTCTTACTAAGTCTGAGGTTTTGTAAGATTTTTGGCACTTACAACTTACTATGTTAATGTTGTCGATTTGGCATGTGGGATAAAAGAAAAGGGGAAACAAACAATCCATGGCCAAGGGATTGACCATATGGGGAAATCAGGAGGGCAGAACTGAGAGTAAAGAAGAGCTCAACACCTGAGATTCACCAACTGTTTTATAGATCTTAATCACTATCTCGACATGACACTTCTCACAGATTATGATGATGATAATGATGATGATATTTTTATTTATTACCTGCCTCTCCTTATGGTTCAAGGCACAACGCAACATAGTTAAATGCTTCATAATACTAAAATAAACTCCATATTACAGATAGTAAAACCTATTTCTACACATTATTAAAATACATGGAACAAAAATTAAGACACAACATAGAATATGAATTTAAAATGCACAGTTAAAATAAATATTTTCAATTAAATTGAATTAAAGCACTAATGAGTGTGCTGTCGCACACTGGGCCTGTAATAATGTCTGTTTACGGGATGTGCTCTCTGTATGCCCAACGGGACACCGGGGTGCCTCAGCCGAAGGGCCCTTTAGACTTCCCAACACAAAGTTCTATTAAGGCTCAAGATAGATTCAACAAAGTTCTTTATTTGGGCTTAAATCTTCAAACAAATGAATTAAACACTTTATAACTTTGGAAAACCAGTAGCTTCCTCAATCTGCCAACAAGGGGGCAGGCAACTGGTGGTAAACTGTTCCTTTCTTACTTAGGGAAATCCTTTGACCCCTCCCTGGGCAATCTCTCTTTACCTTGCTGCCATGAGGCCCTACTCCCGGCTCCAAGCTGCTTTATGGATCGCCCAAGTGGTCCCTTACCAGGCAAGATTCCTGTAGATCTACCAAGCTGAAAAGCTATCCTTTAGTTTCTCCACGAAGGCTGTAGGAACTGTCCTGTTGCTCCAGCAAAGGCTGGCTGTATTCCCCCAGCAAAAGCTGTGGAACCTTTCCTTTTTTCCCCAGCAAAGCCGTGAGAAATGAAGCTTTGTGCAGGTGGGAAAGAGAATCCCACATGTCCTGCTGTTAGGTTTCAAACAGTGAGACTGAACAAAAGCCCTCCTTTCCCTCCAAAACCCTGGGGAAAGGGGCGGGCCTGAAGGCTCTAACAATGATTGACAGATTACTGGACCTATGACTGCAACTTGAGGAAGCTACCTGATTGCCAAATGCATGGCTTAAATAGATTCATGCAAACTAGCAGTGCAAGTAAAGGAATTCACATCTCCTGGCACTACCGTGCCAGCACAAATGATAATACTTGATGGAGCCCCAAAAGGGGCATTTAACAACAACAACAACAACAACAACAACAACAACAACAACAACAACAACAGTATTTCTTACTCGCCTCTCCCAGTGGCTCACAGTGGTTACAACATTGCTAAAAACACTGATGTGTACATGAAGGAAAGGGGATAATTAAAGCTATTACTGATTTAAGAACTAATGAGATGAATAGGCTTACCATAACAGAGTGCACAATGTGAAACACTGTTCAGGTTTTCTTCCTCTTTGGATTCCCAGACATATAGCTGAAAGTGATTAGTATAATCTGCCTAATTAAATGGAAAAGAAAAAGTTGGGCTAAACATGAGAGCATCCATTATAATATGTCCTGAAAACAAATGTTTTTATACATGTGCACACAGACATATGTCGATGTTGTTAACTGCTCTCAAAGTAATTTTGACTTATGGAAACCCTATGGACCAGAGAACTCCAAGTCAACATCAACAGCCCTGCTCAAATGTAGCAGACTCAGGATCAGGGCCTCCCCTGAGTCTATGTAATGTTTCTAGGCCTTATGCCATTTGTAGTAAGTCATGTCTTGATTTCACCTAGTTACTAATCCTAGGATTTTATAGGATGGAGTCATGGCAATTCTGTAGAATGGAGTTATGACTATTACAGTGGCCTCTGTGTCTGTCTATATATGTTGTATGTCTAATGTATTACAGCTGATGATGTTGTATTATTGTTTTAATTAATGTTTATGTAGTGTTTTAATTAACGTATTATGTATTTTAATTGTGTTGTATTATATGAAGCGGCATCAAATCGTTGCCTAATGTAAGCTGTCCTGAGTCCCCCTTCGACGGTAGAGAAGAGATGGGATAGAAATACCATAAATAAATCAATAAATAAATAATGCCATTGATTTTTGCCATGTATATGTGCATTGTAATCCACCCTGAGTCCTCTGCAGGGTGAGAAGGGTGGAATATAAATAAATAAATAAATAAATAAATAAATAAATAAAATGTTCTAACTGATTAGTGTTTTATTGAATCTGGATGCACCTCTGTATTTTCACCCTGTGGTGAAGACAAATTTACTGACTTCTGTGGAGGAATGAGCGATTCATGGGAAATGGCTGAAAGGTAAATCAAGGACATGTTATGTGTATTGTACAAAGTGAAAAGCACAAAGAGAAAGAAAAGCAACTTCTCTTTCCATTCACCCTAACACTAGTACTCCTTTCCGAGTTGGCAGAACACCTTTTAATAAGGGTTGTTGTTTCGAAACAAGTTCACATAGGCACATACATTTGAATTATGGTTTCCTTTACTGCTCTTTCTTGAGTTTACAATTTGTGAAATTGAGAAGAGGATTAAAACCTTGGCAACCAATCCAAGTAAATTGTGAGATTCTGTCAAAGTCATTACTCTACTGGAGTGGGAGTCAAGCATATGCTTTCATTCACAAGAATGCATGGTATAGCAATTAAGCTCAATAGATTGTATAAGTGTTTCTGTATTCTGCCAGGCTCTAAATCCATCAGAGGTTGCTTTTCAGTCACCCCGTTGATTTGAGTATCTTTCTATACAAAAACAGTATTCTGTTATTAGAGATGAGAGTAAGCCAGATATAATACTTTCTGAAATTATCATTTTTGGTGATTAAAGTGATTATGAGTGATCTTAGAGATTCTGGATGGACATTTAGCCCCATAATTTGAGATTTGTTCTACTTTTGCTCATATATGACTATTCTGGATCCAAGCATAGTTCAATTTCACATGCTGAGATTTTGTTTCATTGTGTTTCTTTCTTATGTTACAGGGGGAGGGGGGATTGGCACTGAACAATCGTACTGATGCCCATTTGAATTCATGCCGTGACCTTCAACACATCACAAGCACAAGGTTAATAAATGGGTGTCCAAACATACTACAGATGTTTAACTAATGTGATGCCTGGACAGCCTTAAGCAACCATAGAAAAGGGGAAGAAACTTTGTGTCCTTCCAGATATTGTTGGACAACAACACCCATCTGCTCCAACCAGTATCCCTGCATCAATGCCTCCAATGACTTGTAGTTAAGCAAGTTTAGAGATCTGCCTGCTTCTCTCAATCTGCTATTCTGATTCAGGATTTAAAATTTACATATCTCATTTCCATCATCCAATCAAGACAATGCTTGGTTAATGCAACTGGAACTATATTCTTCCATAACGCAATAGTTATATATTGATTAAATAAATATTCACTATTATGTATTTGAAACTATCCAATATTGATGACTTGTGGAAAATAATTAGGTGATTTATGGCAGACCTCCTGAATCACACATGGTTTTCATAGGCAAGGAATGCTCAGAGGTGGTGTTGCCAGTTCTTTCTTCTGAAATATAGCCTACAACACTTGGAGTTCATTGGTGGTCTCCCACTCAAGTACTATCCAGGGCCTACCCTGCTTAGCTTCCAAGATCAAATGAGATCCATTAATTCTAGGGTATTTGGGCAGTGCTGGTAGTATGTGGAGCCAAAAACAGAAAGGAAGAATGTGGAGAGAAAAAAATCAATGTGTATCTAATAAAGTTTTCTGAAAAACCATCCAAGAAAAAATATTTTCAGTGATTGAACTTCCTCAGAAATGATCCCTGGCAAATGGAAAGCAGTAGATTTTATTTGCCCCAAAATTTTAACGAAAGACTCCAGTATAGACTAACTGTAATTAAATTACTGCACATGAATGCTATTTCCTATTTGTTTTTATGTAATAGTCCTATCCTGGCAAATTCCCTCTCAGTCAATGTGACTAAAGCCTAATTGTCACAAACAGATGCTGCCATGACAAAATTTGTTTCACTGAAAAGGCAAAAACCCTATCCCTACACAGAACAAACTAGACATCAAGGGAAATGATTTTGATTTATTACAGCTAGGGTCAGACTTGGGTAGGCCTGTTTAGTAGTGCTGTCATGCCAGTTACTCACCTCAGCCCTTTTACCTGTATTCCACAAAATGCCATATCTGATCCTTGCCCCTGGCACTAAATTTGAGGAAAGGCTATTTGATGGAATGAGCCAATGTGGCATAGTGACTTGAATGATGGAGCAGGACTCCAGGAAACCAATGTTCAGACACCTAGCCCACCCAAGAAAGCTCACTGGATGGCCTTGGGAAAGTTACCCTCTCTCAGCCTTAAAGTAAAGCAATAGCAAACCTCCTCTGAATAAATCCTACCTAGTAAATGCTATGGTACAGTTAGCATAAATTAAAACTTGTCTTGAAGATATACAACAAGCACAATTTATGATGGAGATGATAGAGGTCATCAGCTGAACAGAAATGCATTGCCTGATTTACTGGGCAGAGCTGTTACAGAGGTGGGTGCCCTCTTGCCGACCATGGAGCCTGCGGGGGGCTTCTTCTTCCCAATAGCCCCCTGTGTAGCAGGAAAGTTTCCGTTGCTGGACCAGCTGGCCTATCAGTGGCAGGCCCTACCCCACCACCTGATTGGCCGGGGTCTGCCAACTTTCCTGCCCAGCAGCCCATTTAAGGGCTGCCCCAGGCCGTCACAGGCACCGTGCCTGCTTTCGCTGATCCATCCCTCCCACCCTGCATATTTGTTTTGTTCTTGGTTCCATGTTAGCTTGTCACAACTCTAGGTTGGCATGTGGCATGGGCCCTGGATCTGGCTTGTTCATCCCCCCACCACCATCGGAAGGGGGGGTGTCCGGTGGTTACCAGGGGTGCCGCATTAACATCAGCCTGGTATTGTGCTGGTGGCACCCTTGTGTGGAAAGCGGTATTGGTCAGCAGTGGGCTGCCCGATACAGGATCCAGGACCCATGCATGGCAGCTAATCCTTGTTCCTGTAACCAATAAACAAGTTGTGGCCATTTTTAGGTCCCAAACCCTGTGTACATGTCATATTTTTCCTGCTGGCAGGAGGTGTGTCACCCATGCACATGCAACTAAGCAGCAACTCAATTGAATACACCCAATTTACTTTGTTTTGGGAATAATCAGGCTTGAGCCTGGGTAGTACTTGGGTAAAGCCCACCAAGGAACACCAGGCATCTGTGAGTAAGGCCCGCCTGAACTCTGCAGAGCCATTGCCAGTCAGAGACAAAATACTATGCTACATAAACCAGGTGTCCTACAAATACAAGGCAGTTCCCTATGTCCGCAATTCCCTTTTTGTTATGCACTTGGGAGATGCATTCAGAGTGATAGAGAGGGGGGAAGGCCTCTCCTTGGTTTAGTGTCCCAGCATCTGCCTGATGAAGAATTCCTTGAGACGAAAGCCTGCTTACCAAAAAGGCTTGCCGTACATTAGGTACTTCACTGAGGGCAATGACCACTGGCATAATATCTAGAGCACTGAATTCCAACACAGCTGTATTGATGGATGTTGCATCCTGTGATGGTCCAGCAGTGAGAAATATTGCAATTTTCCTCATGAGGACACCTTGACGATGCCGTTTAAAGACATTCCTGGCAACGAACCGCATGATACTTCCAATATTGCGTTGGCCTGAAGATCTCTCCAAAGGAATTCTCTGAACTGCTTCCATAAGGAGGTTGTCTCTCTGGAAGTCGGAGAACCGGATTAGGTACTTTGGGTGAGTGTTATATGAAAGCACTGCTACTCGAGCACCAGTAGGACAGTTGCTGGTGCTTATCTTCATAACCTTCAACAAAGATGTCATAATGTCTTTCATCCTTCCAAAGGATTCTGGGGTAACATCTGCAGACATGTCAAGGGCAAACACCACTTCTGATGGATATACTGGACACCTACTCATACCTGCAATCGAAACAAAAACAGTAGAATATAACCCTCAGTATTTAAACATCAGGCTTGTTTCTAAACTCTGAAATAATATCATTGCAGAGATACTTACCTATGCAGCAAGCTAGATAGGATAAAAGAAAGTTGTTTTAATTTTGGTTATCAGGTTTGTACATTGAAAAAAATCTCAACAAAACCTTACCTGTATAGAGCAGGTAGCTTGTTTTAAAATCAAACCAAAATTCATTTTAGATTTAAATAAAGTATAGTAACAGCACAAGAAGAGGTGAAATTATATTGGTAGCATTTAGGCCAAAGACTGCTTGGTTCTGAATGAAGCCCAGAATAGAAAATCATTAAATCATCTCAATAAATTTGCCATTAAGGCATATTTAGTTTTCTTTAATAACTATTTTTTATTCAACAAAACTAAACTACAATCAATTAAACAAAGATGTGTACAGAAAGACAGATTTCACAAAAACATACAACAGACATTTTGTCTTAAAATAAAACACAAACCAAAGCAACAACAAACTCAAGCTCACACAATCATTCTAACCACTAGCATCCCATTCAACCCTACTAAACACATCCTACACACATAGAACAATATGTGTAGGATGTGTTTCAGCCTTGCACTCGCCGGCAGTTAGTGTCTGTTTCTCAATTTACTGTTGAGAAATGGAAAACTTCAATTTCTAAATGTATTGTTAGGAGCCTCTGGTAGCACAATTGATTAAACCCTTGTGCCGGCAGAACTTCTGACCAAAAGGTTAGTGGTTCAAATCCAGAGAGTGGGTGAGCTAATGTCTGTCAGCTCCAGCTTCCCATGAGGGGACATGAGAGAAGCCTCCCACAGGATAGAAAAACATCCGGACGTTCCTTGGGCAATGTCCTTGCAGACGGTCCATTCTTTCACACCAGAAGTGATTTGCAGACGGTCCATTCTTTCACACCAGAAGTGATTTGCAGTTTCTCAAATTGTTCCTGACACCAAAAAAAAAATACCGTTCCCTTGAAACATTTCTATATAACTACCCTCCGACTCTTAATAACACTCTTCTAAGTCAGAAAACCAATAGTAGAATTTTGTCCCCATCTTCAGGTGGTAAATTCATCCCAGTCTTTCTTGAAAGTGGTCAAGGTTTTCACCTTGATCAACACTGTTAATTTGACCATCTCAGCAAACCACTATATCTTCAAAAGTCAATCTTCTTGTGTAAGGATAGGTGGGTCTTTCTTTCTTTGAGTGAAGGCTTATTTAATAAATATGCTCAACAACTTGTGCCTGCCGTATTAATGGGACAGTGAATCCACTACTGATTTTAGGCCGTGTCTACATAGAAACATTAACAACCTTAGATATGCAGATAACACCACTTTGATGGCTGAAAGCGAGGAGGAGCTGAGGAGCCTTCTAATCAAAGTGAAAGAAGAAAACACAAAAGGTGGGTTGCAGTTAAACATAAAAAACCCAAGATTATGGCAACAAGAATGGTTGACAACTGGGAGATAGAGGAAGAAAACGTGGAGGCAGTGACAGACTTTGTATTTCTAGGTGCAAAGATTACTGCAGACGCAGACTGCAGCCAGGAAATCAGGAGACGCTTACTTCTTGGGAGGAGAGCAATGACAAATCTTGATAAAATAGTGAAGAGTAGAGACATCACACTGGCAACAAAGATGTGCATAGTCAAAGCAATGGTATTTCCCGTAGTAACCTTCGAATGTGAGAGCTGGACCATAGGCTGAGCGAAGGCTGAGCGAAGGAAGATAGATTCTTTTGAACTGTGGGGCTGGAGGAAAGTTCTGAAAGTGCCTTGGACAGCGAGAAGACCCAACCAGTCCATACTTCAAGAAATAAAGCCTGACTGCTCATTGGAGGGAAAAATAGCAGAGGCCAAGATGAAGTACTTTGGCCACATAATGAGAAGACAGGAAAGCTTAGAGAAGACAATGATGCTGGGGAAAATGGAAGGAAAATTGAAGAGGGGCCAACCAAGGGCAAGAGGGATGGATGATATCCTTGAAGTGACTGGCTTGACCTTGAAGGAGCTGGGGGTGGCCATGGCCGACAGGGAGCTCTGGCATGGGCTTGTCCATGAGGTCACAAAGAGTCGGAAGCAACAACAAACCTGGTTCCTGACAGCCTTTTACTCAAAGGACAATGCCTGGCTCGAGAACAGTATATGTCAAAAAGATCTTGGAGTAGGTTCTTGTGGGTTTTTTCGGGCTATAGGGCCATGTTCCAGAGGCATTTCTCCTGACGTTTCGCCTGCATCTATGGCAAGCATCCTCAGAGGTGTGAGGTCTGTTGGAAGTAGGAAAAATGGGTTTATATATCTGTGGAATGGCTGGGGTGGGGCAAGGAGCTCTTCCCTGCTGCAGTTAGGTGTGAATGTTTAGCTGATCACCTTCATTAGCATTTGAAGGCCTGCCTGAGCCTGGGAAAATCTGTTGCTGGGAGGTGTTAATCTGTGCCTGGTTTTTTCTTCTCTGTTGTTTAGCTGTTATAATTTTAGAGTTTTTTAATACTGGTAGCCAGATTTTGTTCATTTTCATGGTCTCTTCCTTTCTGTTGAAATTGTCCACATGCTTGTGGATTTCAATGGCTTCTCTGTGTAGTCTGACATGGTGGTTGTGTGGTCCAGATTTCTGTGTTCTCAAATAATATGCTGTGTCCAGGCTGGTTCATCAGGTGCTCTGCTATGGCTGACTTCTCTGGTTGAAGTAGTCTGCAGTGCCTTTCATGTTCCTTGATGCGTGTCTGGGCGCTGCGTTTGGTGGTCCTATGTAGACTTGTCCACAGCTGCATGGTATATCAGAATTATTCAGAAATGTGACGTTGTCAGCAAGCTTCTGTCAGGGAATTGCTTGCTGATAGTGATACAGCAGTAGCAATTCTAATGCAACCTCAATTCGGCTGACCATGTGCATATTCCAAAAGGCTTCAGAAGAGCTTCCAGGCTGCATCAGAGCAGCTCCGGAATGCTTAAAGCTGAATTAATCTGGCAGGTGCAGACACGACCTTAGTCGTAAATTCAGTTCCTCACTGGAGCAGATTCACTGGAACTCAGATTTATGGAAGCCACCCACAACTGCTGGTAACACTTTTTTTTTAACATAAAAAGGCCACATTTTGAAGATTCTTCTGGAATAAGCCATAAATGCTCAGATCTCAGCAGTGGCCAGGAGTAATTTTGCTAAACTGAGGTCAGGTTGCCAACTATTCCTATTGCTGAAGAATGCAGAACTGGCCAGGTTGATACATACCTAGGTTACATCATGTCTGGAGTACTGCAATACATCTCCCTTTGAAAGGAGCTTGAAAATGGTAGTCGGTTTCAGAATGCGGCAGCTCCATCGCTAACGGGGTCTGCATACCGGGAGCTTAAAACTTTCTTGTTGAAACAGCTATGCTGCCTCCCAGTTTGCATCAGATACAATTCAAAGGGCAAACCTATCAAGTGACTCAAAGGAACATCTTCTCCTAAACAAACCTTACCACCTATTACAATCAACTTTCGACCTCATCATAAAGGCCAGGCGAAATGGCCTGCTTCGTCTGGCCTTCGGGGATGAAAGAGGGAGCTACAGGGAAAGCGTCACCTTCTCTGGGAGGCCCCGTGTTGCAGCCAGCACAACACGGGATGCTTCCTCATTGTCAATACTTTTACCCCAGTTGGGGGATGTTGTGGGTGGAGCCACAGACAACAACATCTGATGGCTGAAGTGGGACTCCTTCCCCCAAGCTGGCTCTAAGAGTCCCAAGAAACTTAATTTGAGCCTTATGATGAGGTGAGAGAGGTCCTTATATTTTCCCCCTCTAATTTCAAGACACATGTTATGGGCTGAGGAAAAAGTAAAATCTTTATGGAACTTCTGGATCACTTCTGGAACTGCCAACTCACATATCCACTAATAACCTTCCAGAAATGGATAAGAATCTGTCTCCTTTAGAAAAGTCTTTAGTAAGTCATTTACATGTTATTTTGATCAATCTCTGATTTTCGATACAGTACAACCCCTGTGACCGTGGCTTGAGAACTTCCTAGGTCCACCGGGACAATTTTATGGAATGCATCTAATAAATTCCTCAAGAGGATATATCCCTCTAGGAATCTATAAGTCCTACAACACCAATCTAGGGTATGTTGGGACTAGAAATAAGGTGGCATTCCAACATATTGCAGTTTCAAATAACTGTGGTTTGGCCAAGGAACATATCTCATGTTGATACAGGGATCTTACTGTATCTACAATGTTTTATTACTTTTACTATGTCTTTTTGCCACAGTCTTCTGTTTTATGTTTTCAGGTGGGAGTGTTCTTAGTAGTTAAACATTCATTTTTTGTGAGTTGCCTTAAACTTTTCAGAGATTAAGTAGGAAAGAATTTTTAAATAAATAAATATGTAAATAAATAAATAAAACTTCCTGTCTCTTTTAACTAAGCCTCTAAACTACTAAGAGATCTACTACTCTCAAAGATATTCCAAGATTAAGTAAACTGAATACAAGTAGCCTACACTGAATTAAATTACACTTTTAAGGACACTGGCTAATTCTTCAAAATTGTTTTTAGTGCAAAGATAAGTCATTACTGGTTTGTTGTAGGTTTTTTGGGCTGTATGGCCATGTTCTAGAAGCATTCTCTCCTGACTTTTCTCCTGCATCTATGGCAGACATCCTCAGAGGTTGTGAAGTCCTTGCAACCTCTGAGAATGCTTACCATAGATGCAGGTGAAATGTCAGGAGAGAATGCTTCTAGAACATAGCCATACAACCTGAAAAACCTACAACAACCCAGTGATTCCGGTCATAAAAGCCTTTGACAATGCATGAAATCATTACTTACGGCAGTTTCCTCTCGTAAGGTTAACAAGTTCACAAGGCTATAGATAAGAAGAAAAAAAACAAGATGACTTCACTAGCAATGCTACTTTTAAAAAATTAAGAAGTGAGTCATACTAAATTCAATGTGTTTGTGTATACAAGACAGCAGCTTCAGAACCTGAACATGTGATCCATATCTTCCATTGTAAATGATTATAGCAGTTGTCTCACTAGCACAATATCAAATGGAACAAGAGTAGGTTCAAAATTGCAACTTAAGTTTGACATTCTTCCCATATAATCTTTATTTCATTAACTATTTGATAAAATCTTTTGAAGTTCAGTAGGTAAGGCATTCCCTTGATTTTTATTCTGTATTTACTGATTAAGTGCTTGTCTATGACCGAAATAAATGATTGGATTTGATTAAGAAATAATCTTGGATATACTTTATTATGTATGTGAGGTTAGAGTTGATTACATACCGTCATAGCTGTTATGCCTTTTTGGCCTTTAGAGCCCTGAAAAACATGAAATGTAAAAACATGAGAATATAAGAAGAATCCCGTTGAATCAAACCAATTGCTGATTGAGGCCATCCTTCCATGCTCAAAATGCCCAGCCAGATGCCTATAGGAAGTCCATAAATAAGGCACAGGGTAACAACATCCTGCGGCTCATGCTACACAAATGCTAACACTGCGAAATCTTTACTAGCTCTGATACTGGGGGCAAAACACAGCTATCATGACTCAGACTTGTCCACGAATCCTCCTTTTAAAATCCATTTAAAGTTGTCGATCCTGCACTAGTGAATCCCACAGTTTCACTATGTGACCTATGTGTCACTAAGTAAACCCTCCATACTCGCTGGCAATAGGGGCACAATCAAAGTGAAAATAAAAATATTGTGTGTTTACCAAACAGGACATTGTTCTATCAATCTCTACATCCTCCAACATGACTCTCTTAAATCTATGAAATATTAGAGGATGTAACTTTATATATTTACAAAACAATTACTGATTTTTCTGTGTGACTATTTGTTACACCCATGTGCCTTCCTTGTGACATATTATTTTGCAAATCTGAATTAAAAAAACAAGCATTGAGAACAGGTAACTCCCATGTCACTTGAGTTTGCTCTGAGTTTTTGTCCTAATTTTTGAACTGAATTGCTGAATTTATTTTGAGAATAGAGTTCTGACTGCAACCTGAAATGGATTTATTTGGAGTAACTTGGCTCTGGGTGATTACAGTTTTTTTCCATACTTTTGTACTGTTATCTTGTCCTTAAGATAAAATTCAATATTATTCTCTCGACACAAAAATACCCTTTTTTCAAATTAATTTCAGAAGATTTTTTTTCAAATATTATTGAAGAGGTAAACATAATTTGAATTGAACAGACTATGGAACGGCCTGCCAGAAGAACTCCGACAGCTAGATTAGCTGTCGGAATTTAAGACAGAATTAAAGATCTAGCTCTTCTGGCAGGCCTAACCAAACAGTTTTAATCATGAATTTTAAACTCGTGTCTTATATTCGCTGCATTTTAATCATTGTTCTGTGCATACATATACATATACATATACATATACATATACATATACATATACATATACATATACATATATATATATATATATATATATATATATATATATATATATATGAAATACATTTTAATGTGTATATGTGTTTTTAGCTATGTTGTAAGCCGCCTCAAGCCATGAGGTGAGGTGGGTAAGAAATAAAATGATGGTTGTGGTGGTGGTGGTGGTGGTGGTGGTGGTTGTGGTGATGATGATTATGATTATGATAACAATGATGTAGCTAGATTTATATTGTGCATTCCTGGTAACACAAATGTATTATATACATATAGCATGTCAATTTTGTTTTAGCTATGTTTAGTATCACTTTGACATTACCATTCTTCCAGGTGGACCTCGGCTTCCTCGATTCCCCGTTTCCCCTGGTATTCCAGAACTAGCCTTTTAAAATGCAAGGAAATCATTAAAGCTGTCATAAAAGAGTTGGTTAGTTGGTTCAGGCTTCATAAAAGACAAGTTTAGACAAGGTATTAATCTGTAAAGGGATTCTATCCTAAAGTACATAAAATGATGCCCTTTATCCCAAGATACAGTCCCCTGAACAAATCCCTCAACTGACTGACTCAATGTTGCTGTGTGAAAGGGGGAAATGACCATCTGGAACAGGTATGGGCATACTTCAGCCCTCCAGGTGTTTTGGACTTCAACTCTCAGAATTCCTAACCGCCAATAGGCGGTTAGGAATTCTGGGAGTTGAAATCCAAAACACATGAAGGGCCGAAGTTTGCCCGTGCCTGATCTAGAACCACCTCCATGCTAACCCATCACTCCCTGTCCCCCTTTCCATTTATTGGATGTTAGATGTTGGGCAAAATCTACAACAGGTATATTGCATTGCCTGGGGTGGAAACTCCCTCCCTATCCTCATTTTCACCTACATACACACTCTGTTGTGTAAGTAATTCTGAAGATCTATAAATAAACCCCTAACCAGAATTCCACCAGTGTTTGAAACATGTGTAAGTTCCCCAGTGGGAATGCTTGGAAGCTTTTGTCTGATGTACAAAATCAATTTTCTGTTCAAGGTGGTCAGATTTACATTGCAACCATGACTGCACATTGTGCATACATATGTGATTATGCATTCAGTTCCACAAAAATCACAATTTATTAACAAGCCAGCTCTGTACAACTGCATTTAACTCTTTGAGATAAAGTTATACTCTGCCTCTTTAATGTGGGATTTCTGTCCCTGTTTACTCCTGGATGGGGTGACGAAGGTGTACAATTTTAAGATAATATGGTCTTCAAAATGAAAATAATGAAAATCTTTCTTGATCAGAAAAGGTCAACATCAATAAGTGCTTATCGTCCTCACTCTTTGTCCTCTAGTTCCTTTGGCTCCTTTATCCCCTGGAATGCCAAGGTCACCATCTTCCCCCTACAAAAAAAATTAGAAGCAGGGTTTTGCAACATTTAAGATGCCATGTGTGCTCTCCATGTTCACAGTTCCTCTCTTTCTCTTTCTTCGAAAGCAGCTACAAAACAAGAAAGCTTGGATTGAGGTCATGTTGCAGCCCCACTCCAAATTCTTCCTCTGAAACGCCCATGTTTTGCTTGTTCCTTTACACCTTATATCCCACCCCATCCCAAAAATTAATTCAAGGCAACTTACAAAATAAAGATGATGTATCGATAAGCAATAATAACTTAAAAATTCATTAAAAACTGTCAGTTGGACTGATACTTTGTCATACAAGTTATTTAAGCTTCCATTAATTTCATTGGATCTACTGTAAGATCTCAGCCAAATATGATTGGTAAGAACATGAGAGAGGGGCTTCCCAGTGGCTACCTGTAGGCTCTAGAACTTCTTTCACAGAACCAAACTACAAACAGAAGTTTTTGAAAACAGCTAGAGCAGATATGCTTAATTTTAAGAGGAAGAGGGCATGTAAAACAACACTGTCTTCATGGGTCTTTAGAAACCCAGAAGAGATGGGACTAGTCTAATCTCCAGTAGGAGGTAGACTCTGTGTGATCTCTGTGTAGGAATCAGTCAATTCATGAAATAGGACCAGGAGACTGAATTATATGGGAGTGAGAATGAATGAATGAATGATTGAATGACTGAATGAATGAACGAGTGAATGAGAAATAGGCTTTTTAAAAAAATTATACACCTTTTTTTCCTTCTCTCTCAAGTACCAAACAAGGATAAGGGCATGGGGAAGCAACCATCAATGGTATTCTGATAAATATTTTCATTCTGGTAATGCTTTTAGTACAACAATTTAGATTACATTTGAAGGGCCATTGAACATAAATCTAATAGTTATTTTAACCCTTTTCAGTGTAAATTGATTGAATTCAATATATAGCATATAAACAATGAAGCTTTTTCTAGTAACTTTTCTCTCTCTCTAATGCAAGTATACCTGTGGTCCAGGGTTTCCATAAAATCCAGCTTGTCCCTGGTATTGGAGACATAGAAGACAAATTGGTTTAATGTTGCCTACATGTGTCTTGTTTCACAAAATAGTTTATTTTTGTTCTCTTCTAAACATATTAGAAGCATCAGCATTGCTTTATCAAAAAAAAAACTTCATTAGCCAGTGCACATTGGCAATACTAAGGTTTAAAGACCTGAACTAAAACCTTACTTCTCTTCCAATCACAACCATTCATCATGGCTTCGAAGTATTGCAAATTTCATACACAGATAAATTGTTTGGTGAAGCTATTTACTTCGGGTATGGTAAAAATAAGAGGCAAATGCAGAGAATTTCCTGCTATTTAAAGCACTCCATCCCAGTACATCAATCTATTATGATAACATAGCCCAACAAAAAAATTCTTGGTGTCTTGGTTTTTAGGCCTGTTCTTGGAGTTATTGGGCGTGCTGATTCAGAAAATTACATTGGATAAACCTCATCAGCTCTAGTTTCTTAGATGTGGTTATCGTAGTTTTTTTATGGGCAAGCAGATGACTACTGGCATATGTGCTGTATCTCAAAAACTATAGCTGATATGGGGAAACTGATGACACTTCTGGAATCAACAGGTCAAATATACCCAAAAACAGATTTAACATTTGAGGCACCAAAATGTGTGTTGGACAGTGTTGTTAGTTACCCAGAAGTTAATTGAACTACCAGAATCACTTGGTTCATGCTCCATTAGGAACTTCTACAGAACCTTGAGAGAAATGGATGACATACTTTCAGAACATATTACAATGCTTACTCATCCCTTCCACTAGTTCTAATCAGAATAGGGTCATTGAATAAAGTAGACTGTGTGCCAAACTAATAATAGGATTCTCACCTTTTCTCCCTTTCTTCCTTGTAGACCATATCCATGGTTGCCATCTTGTCCCTGAAAGGAAGGAACAAATGAAAAGCAAGTTAACTGTAAGAGTTAAGACCTGATAATTATGTAGCATAAGGCAACGACTTCAAACAGAAAATTTGAGGTAGCAAAGGATGATGATGAATGGGAATAGCACTTTAACTGTTATAAGTGTGGATATGAGAAGCAGATGATTACATAAATTAAACCCATGAAGAAACAAAACCCACAAAAACTCCCTCCCACAAAAGTTCCATTTCATTCCTTAAATAATATAGTGGAATTTGTTTATTCCAAATTTGTACAAACCACACACTATAGACATTACATCTTTAATTCTTACCAATTTCTAAGTATAGTGCTGAAGTCAATAACAGATTGTTTGCATTACAGACAAAATTTGTGCTGGATTAATAATTGCAAATTTGGAGACACACATATTTCATTTCCTCAAAATTGGCTTCAATTCATGTTTTAACACTGGGACTTTAACTTTCCACCAGCAGACCTGATTTTTTCCTGACAAAAGTATTGCATAAATAAACAAGTATAAACGGATAAAATGGAACACAAGCAGCTAAATAATTTTTGGCCAACAGTGGGCAGTAGTGATCACATTGTCAGTAGCTTTAAACAGTTCTTCCTCAGTGCATGAGGCAGGGCATTGTGGGCAGAGTTGTTGTTCTGTTCCACAGTCGCACAAGGTGGAGGATTCTTTTAGGTAGTGCCATTTAGCCAGGTTGTCTTTTGATCTCCCAACAACACTTCTGAGTCTGTTCAGGGACTTCCAAGTTGTCAATTCTTGGTTTGCCCCTGATGGCAGACCTTTGTGAGGGACTATCCAATTGGGATTTCCTGGTTTAGCTGGGCACAGAGGGATACTGTTGCTGTTGCTGGGGGAACATTAAGAGGAGTGGTGGTTCTCATGAAGCTTTTCCATGATTTGAGTCTACTGGGAGGAGGCCAATAGCCATGAAGTGGATGGCTTTCACAGTGTTCAACCTTATTTATCTCACAGTTGACAGAAACTTCCTATCAAACATTGGGGGGGGGGAGCAATGCCAGCTAGCTTATAGAGTCTATCAACAGGTGTAGGTTTAAGACATCCTGTGATTATTCTCTATGTTTCATTCAGTGCTGTATTTATCTGCTTTGCCTTGGCAGACTTGTGCCAAACAGGGCAGGCATACTTGACAGTTGAGTAAGACAAAGCCAGGGATGATGTTCTTATTAATTTTGGGTCTGCACCCCATGCACTAGCAGACCTGATTTCTGGTTTACTGTGAACAAGGATAATTCAGTCAATTGTTTTAGCATAACTTGGCCAAGTAGCTTAGCAAAGTGCCACCTCTTCTGATCTCAAAGACATGCCTTTTCTCTGGGTCTTGAAATACATTTGCCTGTGTGGTGGGATAGTCCCACAAAGGGGCATGTAAACACTCTCACTTTGAAGAAATATATAATGAATGAAAAATTCAATCAATCTAGGTGATTTAGTAAAGAGGCAGAATCAGAAAGGTGAAACTCACAGGTAAGCCTCTTGGTCCAAATGGCCCCGACAGGCCTTTTGCTCCGGGATCACCATGTTCACCCTTTTATGATGTAAGAGAGACAGAGATTAGTAGCCTGTCAACATTACTAGAATTCCTGTGGACTTGATAAATCAGTTCTTAGTGAGATGATAGACTGTTTATTTGAATGGAATGGTATCTCTGTACAACACAATGCCTTTCATTCAGAAAAACAGATGCCAGAAGTAAAGAGTCTAGTCCTGTCTTCTCCTGACAGACTGTTGATGATATTGAATGCTGCTCATCTTTTACATAAGACTAAAAGGTTGACAGTAGGAACAGAGCATAGCAGCTCTTCATCCTAGCATAAGCCTACCATAGTTGTGAAAGAAGAATATATTCCTATGAGAAAAGGCAAAAGGGGTGGCTCTAGAGTAGCCCATTGTGACTTAAGTCCCATTTGAGTGGCCCCTTGAACCCCAAGTCCCACAAAACCTTCCAGAATTTTCAGGCAATTCTTGTTCCAAAATCTTACAGAACCCACCCCTGAAACCTCAAGCACCTCAGAACTGTGTAATAACCCCAAATAGCTCAATTTTCCTCTCAAAATGGTGGCAGGACTTCACTTCCTGACACCATATTGAAAGAGACTACAGAAGGAAACAGAGGTATTGGGGTTTGCTTAGGGTGATTGACCCTGGCTTCCATTCAGTTGCCTATCCTCATTTATGTCATTTGAATGATAGATAATTAAAAAAAACAGAATATACTTGTTAGCCCTGATTATTTTTCCTAAAAATGCAAAGCAGGATGAATGGAATCAGACACAAAAGATCACTGTTAGTAGCTCCAGTTTGCCAGCCATTTTGTAGAAGAGCTGCAAAAAACTGTTTTCACTCAACATTGGTTTGGTGAGTTCCAGATAACTAAAGGTTGTTATTTTTATGAGTTTATATATCCTGAAAATCCCAAGTAATTTAGAGCATTAGAGTACTTTGAATTGCATCCAGTGAATGGATTAATAACAAGTGAAATTCACATAAAAATAACATGTTCCAAAGGACTTACATTTTCCAAGTACAAAAAAGTATTTAGAGCTTTGATCAGTTGCTACTCAGAGCTATTTTTATACTGTTCTCATATTACGGGCAAAAAAAATGAAGGCTATATTTTACTTCACAGGTAATTCATTCAGACAGTTTGTCAAAAGCACAAAAGAGTCTTTTTGAAAGAAGGAACTTTTACCTTTTGGCCTGTATGTCCGAGTTTCCCTCCTGAACCAGGTACACCATCAATTCCTGGAACGCCCTCCAATCAGAAACACATATTGAAAGTCACATTTAGAAAAAGCAATTCCTGGCTTCTTCTCAAAACACAAAATTCTTGGCAATGTCTCCTTTCATGACTAATGGCCTCTGTGACCACAACAATCACTGGCAACCAGTTAAATAGCTTTTATGTTTTCCCTATAATCCTATCCAGGTTTCCAACTGCCCCGAATGATGCCTGTTAAATTTACTATGCAGGAAAACAAGGATATGCACACATTATGCCAGGGACTGAAGTTATTCATTCCTTCTTAAAATGTTAGTCCACATCTGATTAGAAGGATTCCCCAGACTTCAGGGTCTGCTCCTCATTTCTGGTTCTCGGGGTAAAGGCAGGAAGGGGGGGGTGAATGTAATGGTGAGAAAAATGTTTTGCATGTATGTTTGCACTTATGAAAGCTCATTTGTTTGACTTGTATAACCTCCAGTTGTCCTGACTTGTCTAGAACAATCCCGAATGATCCTCTGCCATTTGAAAAGTTCCACTTTCTCTCTTCATCTCCCATTTCCCCCCTCAGCTTATTTCAATTACTACAAAATGAGGTTTGTTTAATTGTGTCAAAAGCAACTTGAGAAGAACATAATGCAAGTCGCTTCTAGTGTGAAAGAATTGGCCGTCTACAGAAACATTGTGCAGGTGACACTCAAATGTGTTACCATCCTTCTGGGAGGCTTATCTCATGTCCCCTCAAGCTAGAGCTGAAACATGGGAGCTCACCCCGTCTCACACATTTGAACCAGCAACCTTTAGGTCAGCAACCCAACCTTCAAGTCAGCAGTCCAACCAGCACTGTTGTAGCTCAGTCTGTGATTGTGTCTGATGTCAATGGGGATAATGGTTTTCCTGGGCCTGTGTCGGATGTCAATGGGGATGAGGGTTTTTCTGGGTCTGAGTCAAGCCTGGGTCTTGCTGAGAGGCTTGAGGTCTCTCATGAATGGAGTGCTTCTCCTGTAGATTCCCAAGGTCAAATTCCTGGGAGAGGCCCACAGCAGTCTTCCTCTAAAAACCTGTCTTCCGATGATGATTTGTCAGGTGCAGAATTTAATGAATTTGAAGATTTCATTAAGATAGAAAACAAGACTTTTGTGAATTAAGACAAAGCTCTCAAGATCAACGAAGGCCAGTCCATCGGCTAGAAAAGAGACAAGAAATCCTTATCGGGCTGTAAGGAAAAACAGAGTGATTTCCTTTTGATTCATGGGACAGGAAAAGCTTTATATGATATGAGGAAAAGATTTTAGCTCAGTCTCGTCAACATTGGAGTTTCATTATGATCTTGTTTCCAAGTGGATTTCTAGTTTCATGTTTCAAGTTTTGCCAGGCTCCTGTTCAGGGCATTGGATCTCCATGTTGTCTTGTTCCTTTGAGTGTTGCCTCTTTAGATCTTGTGTTTTTACCTTTGTACTCTGAATTTCATGGACTGTGTATTAACTCCAAATATCTCAGATTTCATCTGTACTCTTTGAAAATACTGTTTTGGGCTATACTGTTTCTATCATTTTTATTGCTTTGCTTACATATATCCTTCAATAAACTGCTTGCTCATTTTACTATACTGGTGTGGTGTTTGAGGACAGAGGTGTTCCTGCTCTGGGATACAACAGGCACAAAGGTTTAACCTCTTGTGCCACCGTGGTAGTTCAACATGCAAAAATAGTTTGCCGTCTATTGATTTAGGGCACATCTACACTGGCTATTTAATCCGAGGCCAGTTCGGGGTAACAATACTCCAGACCAGCCCCTAGTGTCTCCATCTCTTACATTGTTCCTTTTATAGCAGAGTAGATTTGGGAGTAAATCTAGTTGTTGCACAGTCAGTAGTGGTTTCTGACCTCCACCATGACCAGAAAAATGAGTTGCAATGGTTTAAGTATGTCTTACACTATTGTACATCATCAAGAAGAGTGCATCCTTGTTGTTGAAAATGATAAAACATATTTAACACACCAAGCAAAAACATTTTAAGACGTACTGTGGGACCTGGCAAACCTTGTGGCCCTGGTAGTCCCGGTACTCCTGGGCGGCCTGGGGCACCCTGGTGACAAAGGCAAGAAATCTGAGAATGAGCCAAAGTGTAGCAGATTTTTTATTCACATTCATCCAGATCCAGATCCAAACTTAGTTTTGGAACTCTGGCCAATGGACAAAACTGCCTCCGCTCATAATGCCCAACAAAGCCTATCTGTATGTTGTGGTTAAAGAAAGAAAAAACCTCTTTCAAGTGCATACATGGCATGCCTTGTACATTAAAACTAAACATAAGATACAGTAACATTGCAAATATAATAAAAAGAAGACCCAAGCTTGGGAAAGTTGGGCTATGGATCTCAGAATCCCCCAAAGGTCTGTAAGGTCAGCTGATAGGCCGAATTCACCACTGGGGGTCATTTCAAGTCACTCTCTAAATACAGTTTATGCATGAATTGTGCTATATATGTTCCAAAGATTACAATTCAACACAGCTTTATATTACCTGTGGGCCTTTTCGGCCAGCATCTCCAGGACCACCTGGCTCCCCTTCCTCTCCTTGTGCACCCTGTCAAGTAAGACATGAAGAGATGGACAAAATATGTATTTCCAAACTTTTACAATCTCTATTAAATTCTTTCCAACTTGGGAATGTTGTAGCAGCCCATAATCAGCTATAGTACCTGGTAATTAGTCCAACAAAACATAGCACGGAAGAGTCAAGGATGCTCCAGAGTGGACAGATAGTTTTGAGTGACCCAAAGTTTCCTCCCTTCTCTTCTATCTATTCCAACTGGTCTGTGTTGTAAACTGTTGTAAACTTAGGAATATTTTTCCACGTTTTCTCTTTTTACCGGATCTCTTCCTGTGCTTCCCTACGTTTGCTGCTTCTGCATCTGGCCCGTCACTATAGCATCTCAATTAGGCATTGTGGAGAAATTAAATGGTAGCTCCAAGTAGATGGGCTTTGGGTGTTGGTTTTGGTTTGAAAGAAAATGGACCTTCTCATGAGGATGGCCAAAAAGAGGAACACCCTTCAACCACATAAGCAAACATACAATATAGCACTACACCAGTAGCAATAACAACAAACACTTCTCTGAATATAATATGTGTTGATTTATATGTAAGGATTCATATTTGGGATTAATTATTATAATTTTAATAGAAATTCCATAGTTGATCTCTTGTTCTGGGACTGTTAATGGACAGCTTCAAGCCTCTATCTCTTCCATATTTCTTTATCACTAAAATAGTTTAAACAGGACTTGGGCTGGAAAACCACCCAATTAGTGGATGTGTTCAAACAGAGGGCAATATGGTCCACTTACCTACTTTGTTGAAAGAGTGTATTTCTATTAATCGTGGCTTGAGCAGTGGGGATATTAAAAAGAGAGTTTGTATTTCAGGAGGAAATGAAAAAGAATGACCAACAAAATCAGAATTGGCTGCTATATGGAGTGGTAATTTTTTTAAAAGCCCATGAACCTCATAGGTCATTCAACTAATGAATTCTGGTTGAAGCCTTGAAGTAAAAATTGATGTGAGCTGTTTTGAAGGTTTTTATTTAATGACAAATGAAATATTTGTAGGAGAAGCCATATTTGCAAATGTTTATTGACACCTAAGGCTATCATTACTCAAGGAAAAATTTGGAAATAAAGAGAAGCACAGCAGTGCTAAGAAATTATGTGCTTTGGATACATTTATAATATTTTAAACATGAATTTATCACTGGCCAGGAGAGTTAAATACAGAAAAATGTCAAAGCCCGCAGGGCCATCTAGAGCTCTATAAGAATATTGTCAATATATGGCAGGTTTGCAAAACAGACTTTCAATAAAGGGAATATTCTGCTAATGTTGGCTGAGGCAGAGAGGTAAATGGTGTGCCAAGAGTCCAATCTGGCAAGAAACGTTGGATTCTGAGGCCAACTTCTCTTCATCTCATGACAAAAATTAAGAACTTGAAGTAAGTCCTGCTGAATCATACAATAGGTCCATCTGGACCAGTATTATGTAGGACTTTTTACACTGGCCAAATGGATACTTCTAGGGAACCTAGACATGGGGCACTTTGAAAGTGATTCATGACAACCCTGTCAAGTACATTCGGCAGAAAGGTTGTGGTTGTACTTGAGCTATTTCTGCCAAGACAACAATCTTGCTAGCCTAGTGTGTATGTGAAGCTTCAGAATGGTTGAACTTTGAATCTAAATAAATGTAGCCAACCTTGGTTTCTTTTTAAAGTTCTAATAATTTATGGTTTATCAATTCCTACCTATTCTTTTAGCCGTACTGCAGGTAATTTATAGCTGAGAAACTATCTTCTTAAAAACAGAGGTTTAGAAATGTTCCTGTTTTCATAAAAGCGATTGTTTCCCTTTCAATTACTAGCTTCACAGTTCAAGAACAAAACAGATTTTGTACAGTTTCTAATTTACAATGACAATGTGAGTTTCCCAATCAAGTTCCAGAAATAAGAGGCACATAGGAATACATTCAGTACACCGAGTGTAGTGACTACTCACCTTTAAGCCAGAGGGACCTCGATGACCATCAGGGCCCTAAAAGAGTGGGGAATAAACAGTTACGGTATCCCAAACTGGAACAATTTTTAAAATGAATACACAGTACATCTCATATTTGTGCAAAATATGAATCTTATGCAGTCTATTTGCAAATCACTAGAGAATTGTAGTCATCCACTGACTCAATTTCATTAAATACTTTTTATTGATTTATTGATTTGCCTTGTACTTTGTACAAAGCCCACTCAAGAATTAGATCAACTTTACAGGTTAGAGTGAATCCAAAACACAAAGGTAACTAAGGGCCCTTCCACACAGCTATATAACCCAGAATATTAAGGCAGAAAATCCCACAATATCTGCTTTGAACTGGGTTATCTGAGCACACTGTCATATATTCCAATTCAAAGCAGAAAATGTGGGATTTTATTCAGCTGTGTGGAAGGGGCCTAAGAAACCACTAATAAGCAAAAGAGCTGCGTTTCCTAAAAACTCAAAGACCTGCCTTAAGTTGCAGACACTCTGTTTTTCCCAACCTTGAATACCTAGTAGAGATCTTACTACAATTACCATCTTCCTTAGGTGTGCTTATAACCAAACAACGCCTGAGGAATTAAGGTAGGAAAAGGCTGCAGCAGACAATTAATCCTCAATTTCTTGATAAATTATATACAAACAGGGAAAATTATCATAGATCCAACTTTTTAATCTTGGAGCCAAATTAAAGAAATGAAATAGAAAAAATACATCAAGTTCTAAATGGAAACATTATGTTTAGTAAAGCTTTCCATGTGTTTCTTTAGGCCCCTTCCTTTTTTCTGCCCAAGAAATCACTTTGTCTAATTCTAGAGTGTTTTTGCTTGAAATATCTGCATTTGCTTGAAACATCTGCTTCTTCGCCAATAAAACTTTGTGCTTACAATTGGACCATCCTCGCCTGGCTCTCCTTCCACACCATCGACTCCAGGTTCTCCCTGCAAAAAAAGAGTGAGATTACTAAATTACATCTGTGTCTTTCCTATATTCTGGCATGAGGTGTCTCTAATGAAACCTGACATATAGTTGAAGAAACTCACATGCATCCAACATTCATCATGGAACATAATGTTGTATTCAGTTGTATCAACATTTCTAATTAGAAACAATGAAAACCATAAAGAGTTGTCATGTTTCAGATTCTAAGCACGTTCAATTCAATGTTCCTATGACCTCCTCAGATCTGCCAAAATGTTCCTCTGACCCCCACATATCTGCCAAAATCCACACATCAACTGAACGTTATGTTTGTGTGCCTCTTTTCTCTCCAGCAATAACGGGACTCATATTGCACCTTTCGGCTGAAATCCGATTTTTGTTCACAACTAGAACAGACCCATTAAGTTAATGGAAAATATGTACACTTTGCCAACACTTTGATTCAATGGGTGTATTCTTATTGGAACTAACAACCGGATTTCAATCTAAGCCGCCAGGATTGGGAAGGGGGAAGGCTCTGTTATTTTTATTTCTTTACTTTTTTTCACAAAGTTATGACCTCCAAACCAAAATAAATAAATAAATACATAAATTGTATATATTTAACTATTTATTTAAAGCATTTATATTTCACCCTTCTCACCCCAAAGGGGATTCAGGGCAGAGCACAAAATACAAATGGCAAACATTCAATGCCTGGACATGAATACATTATGCGCATACATAAACATTAAAAACATTTGTCTCAACATTAAATAAGCCCACACTCAAGCACACTATGAGAAAAGAACATCACGTAGTCTTGGAGCAAAGTGCATTATTCTGTTCAGAGTAGTCTTTATTTGTCCTGAATTGGTTTGGATACCTGCCGCCCTGTGTTTCCTTTTGGACCCGGAGAACCAAAGACGTTGCTGTCAATTCCAGGAACCCCCTGAAAGAGAAAAGAGATAAAAATCTCTGAAGTGCTTTCAAAGGCCTCTGCTTTGCTAGCGCAGCAAGAAAAAAGTGAATCACAGAAACAGAATGAATGCTCCTTTCTGTTTGTTCTTTCTATCAAAAATTGCACATTATATCCCTGAAGCAATGGAAGGAAATTGTCTTAGAAAGCAATGAACTCAAGCATGTCATCTGTGTGGGTGGCTTGATTACTGGAGCTGTAATTTTATAGGATGGAATTGTAATTGGTTAGAGACAGTGAGACTATTGCCATTTAAAATAGGATCTCATTCATGCAACTTTATAGAAAAATGCAATTGCAGCTGTGCTAATAGCATTCAATTGAATTCTAGTTCCTTGCAACTTCTAACAACGGGCTGAATGAAATGGTCTATTAGATCTTAGGCATGCCATATGCATCCATGCACTGGAAAGACAGTATCTCTTAGGGCCCAGTCATGAAAATATGCTTGCCAAAGAAAACACAAGCTCTAGAAAAGGAACTTGACAGCTTTTTGAGAAGCTGCCCTATATGACCTGCTGCTGGTTCCAAGGCATCCTATAGAGTAATCGGATGGAGTGAGGAAAGAGGAGTCCATGGGCTCCAAGCATCCTTCACCTCCCCATCACTGTTTTACAAACCTGGAAGACTCCCAATGGCTATCTGAAGTACATTTTAAGTGTGATTTTCAGATTTTTTTTGTCTGAAGATCAGGGCAAAAGAGGTGAAAGTGTGTGAATTTACTCTCCTAGCCAATGCAGCTCCCTGAATCCTACACACATACCTCAATATATCTATTTTAACAATAGTTTTCGCCCATATATTAATCCAAACTGATAATCATAAATTATGTAATATCACTTCTGATTGCAAGAAGTGGTCAATATACACTTTGAAAAAGAAGTACCTATATACTCATGTATAAGCCGAACCGAATATAAGCCGAGGCAACTAATTTTACCACAAAAAAATCAGGGAAAATGGATTGACTTGAGTATAAGCCGAGGGTGGAAAATGCAGCAGCTACTGGTAAATTTCAAAATAAAAATAGATACCAATATAATTACATTAATTGAGGTATCAGTAGGTTATATGTTTTTGAATATTTACACAACATATTCTGATTAAACCATTATTCTAAATTTCTTCCATGTAAATGTGTTTACATATCCTTTCAACAATATTAAAGAGAGTAAAATAATAAGTGTAATAAAAAGAATAATAATAACAGAATACAAGCTGAAAGAGACTTTTTCAGCCTAAAAAGAGGGCTGAAAATGAGACTTATACTCAAGTATACACAGTAATTGTATTCTCCAATGAGTAGGATAGACCAATTGGAGTGTCAGAGGGTCAAGCACTGACCATTACCTTAGAAACATGAATATCTTAGGGGGTGATGAATTACTTCCAGGAACAGTGGATCATGGTGAAAAAGAAGGTGGTGGTACTTTGGTCTACCTGTGGGAGAAAACTGGCCTCTACAAAAGGGAGAGGCTTTATTTGAACTAGGACGGTATGTAATAGAAAGAAAAGTCGTAGAAGACAGCATCAGGAAGAACAATGATAGGATTGCTGTGTATAAATGGCTAATTGGGGATTCTTTTGGGAAAGGTCTGGGCATTAAGGTAGGATGGGAGACAGATAGCTCTCACTCTCTGACTGATGTAAATGGAACTCATCCCCATTTAAATCAAAATCTTCCACATTAAAAAAATAAAATTATTTATAAAGGGTACATTATTCCTCTTTATAGCACAATTACAAAATATCCACCACCCAATTGTTGGAGGGATTGTGGCTGTAAAGGGACCTATTTATTTACCCATGTGGGTGGAGTGGCACAATTTTGGCTTAGAATTATTAGTCTCATTAATGAAAAATGACCAAAAAAAATAAGGCTATTGTCTACTCTCCTTTTTCTTACAAACTTCATGCCTAGGAATAAAGGATTGAAATAATAAAGTGATGATAACTTTCATTCTTGCTATCACAAGACTGGAATTTGTTAAGAACTGAAAAATGGGGAATTTCTTCCTAAGAAGAAGAATGACTTCTCCTTATTGAATATCCTGGAGCCCTCAATGGGTTAAACCCTTTTGCCAGCAGGAATGAAGACCAATAGATCGGAGGTTCAAATCTGGGGAGAGCACGGATGAGCTCCCTATGTCAGCTCCAGCTCCCCATGTGGGTACATGAGAGAAACCTCCCACAAGGATGGTAAAACAGCAAAACATCCGGGCGTCCCCTGGGCAAGGTCCTTGCAGATGGCCAATACTCTCACAACAGAAGCAACTTGCGGTTTCTCAAGTCACTCCTGACACACAAAACAAACATCGAATATGTTAAGGCCCACTCACAAAAGGTCTCGCCTCCTTCACAGAGTCATGTACTGTGTGTTCTATATAACTTCTATATATCATATTTAATCATAAAGCTATTTTAAACGGTTTTTATTAATATACTGAAAGATAACTTGTTATCTTGTGAATTCTTTAAGTTGCTGATATTCATTGAAATATTTTTAAAAAGAATGAATTAAACATATACAAACAAAAAACTCTACTCACACTATCTCCTCTTATACCAGGTTGTCCTCGTTCCCCTGGGTGTCCTCTGGGGCCTTCTCTACCCTTCAGTTGTGCAGAAGAAAGAAGCAGCAGTTCATATATTATGCACATAGACATATTACCTGGGGCAAATATTCGCATCCTCTGAACTTGTCCTTCAGCTATTAAGATGAGTGGCCATAAACCAAGAAGCCATACTTACACTCAAATGTTTACTGGAGGAGTGGGCAAACTGCAGCCTAGAGGCATAAGTGGCTCTCAAGGTTATTTCAGGGCTCCCAGATCCCAACACCTTTAGCCACCATTTTAATTATTGATTCTGGAAACTGTGACTTGCCTTTTAAGTAGGTTTCAGGGATCCCCAGCACCCTTTAACCAAATATATTAGTGCTTTAAAACCAGGAGACATGTTGGATATCAATTTTATTTTGCTATTAAATTGTTTTAATAAATAGTTCTTTATTTGGGCATTTTGGGGAGGGGGGTGGTTCCAGGCCTACCAAAGTTGCCCATCTTTGCTTTATTGGATTGTATCAGATGTTTCTGATGCCTTTCTAGAAATGATAACTAGCACAAATTAGCCTATCCAGAGAATTAATGAATAATTCACAACAGTTTCCAACAGGTTTGAGATTCTACTTTAAAAACTGCACATTTTACAGTGGAATCCAACAAGACAGTTTAAAATTGGGACTGGTTTTACCCTCCGTCCTGAACGGCCCCTTGGTCCTAGCGATCCAGGAGATCCTCGCTCTCCCTAGGCCACAAAAGAAAAAGAAAAAGGATGTCAAGCTTTGCCTCCAATAATCTAATCTCGTGGAATATGCTCCTCACAGCAATGCATCTCAGACAGAGCCCCCAACAGTTCAGACAACAAAGACAGTATTAAGACATCTGGAGAATGTTTGCATCTGGTCTTCTCTTCAAGCCATTTTGAAACATTCACAAGGTTTAAATGCTTCAGAATATTGCTGGATGCCAAGCCTATTCTAGCTATTATAACTTTTTATTATTCCATTTTGCATTCCTTTTAAAATGATATGCTTCCTCGGCACATCTCAAAAAGTGGGGTATACATGAGAATCAGAATCAAAGCTACTGGTTAAACGGTACCTCCTGTCCATCAATCCCATCGAGTCCAATGTCACCATCATGACCCTGTTGAAACATTTTAAAACATGTTTATTGTGAAGTACTTTGGACTATCCCTTGTAAATATAATTTATGGCACATTTCTGCTGTTATAAATATAGAGAGTACAAAGATTATTTATGTGTAACTAAACATTCATCACTCAACCAATGGATATTTAGTAAAGTACTGCCAAAGGCCAACACTGTCTCAACTCACCAGTAAGAGTGATCACAAACAATAGCTGAAATAATGTACAGAAAAAGAATTTGAGGTCCAATATCTGGGATCTGCAGGTTGCAGATCTGCTTGAAATTCTAGAAAGCCACTGTTTGCCAATGTAGAAAATGCTGACTTAGATAAACCATCCACACTGTACAACTATTATAGCTGGACCCCACACAACTGCCATGACTCCATCCTATGGAAATCTTGGCTTTTAGTTTGGTGAGACATCTGAAATGTTCTACTAGCAAATTCTAGTGCATCCCCTGGGCTATTTATTTATTTATTTACTATATTTGTATACCGCCCTTCTCAGCCTGCAGGCGACTCAAGGCGGTTTACAGAGGCAACAATTCAATGCCCAACAACACCATAAAAACATTTAAAACATTTAAAACATTATAATATAAAATCAAAGCAAGATCAATAAGACACCATAAAATTATTTAAAACATTTTAAAACATTAACATATAATATAAAACCATAACAAAGATCAGTAAGACATAAATCATTTGCGTCTCCTATTTAAAACATTGTCCAATCTCATCATCCAGTTGTTCCTTTTTCCTATGTTTGTTACCTTGCATTTTCCTAGAACTCTCTAGGAAAGAATTCTAAGTATCCCTCATCAAACAGTAAATCCCAGATTTCCATAGGAATGCCAGAGCAGCTAAAACAGCATCAAGTGTTGTAGCCTGGCAAGCTACAGATGAGCTTTCTGAGTGCTTAGAGGATGAGGAAGGGGATGATGGGTTGTAACCTGTCATGTTTGAGGAGTTTGTGGAAGATAGCAGAGACCTGGAAAGAGATGTTTTGGAGTCTCCAGGCTGATCCCAGGCAACAAGAGAAAGTGCTACCAGTTCCCATGAGAATAGACCAGAGTGGTCTTCAGAGGATAATGTGGGTGACAAAGGCCTTGAAATTAGGAGGCAGAATGTAAAACAAACTCTTTTTTCATCATCACCATCATCCATTGCTGTATTTTTCATGATGTCGGTTCATTTTTCACAATGTTGCACCAACAGCAGTATTACTGGCAGTATTAATAGAGTGAAATATTGTAGAGAATGTCTTAATCAGAGGGGTAATGTTTATGTTTTAAATGAGTACATACCTTGTTTCCTCTGAATCCTCTTTGTCCCTGAAATGTACAAAGAGACTTGTTGAAATTACACCAGAAAGAATGCAGAATTCTAAGACAGAGCTGAATGAGCAACTTTCTTTCTTTCTCTTCTGATGCTTGCAATGGAAGAACAAAAGGTGATTCATGCTACACCAACACTCTTTTAGTATCCTTCCCAAACATCATTGCTCAGAGAACCAAAGGGGAAACCAATTATCTCTCCCGACCACCATAATCACAGGAGCTGTATTTACCATTCCCCTGGAATTATGACATGTGGGCATCTTGTCCCCAAGACACGAACCAACAAAATGTAATAATCAAGCATATTTCGCTTATTTGTTTGTCACTATTTTTTTAATTAAACAGCAAACATACCTCAATTGTAGCATCTTAAAGACTAAGCAACTTTATTTGACATAAGCTTTCATGGACCATTGTCCACTTCATCCAATGGACTGCTAAATTCTTCAGTATAGATGCATGGAACTACTGATACAAATGCATGAAGTCTAAATTCACTGGGAAAGGGGGATTAAGCCCTCAAACAGAAGGGAAAGCACAAAACCAGGCAGAGATTCATACCAAAGTTGTAAGGAAGGAAATGGAACATAAAAATAAAATGTGATAAGAGCACCAATTTGTATACCTCCTGAAAAAACTTCTAATTTGGTGCCACTTGCCTTTGGTCCCCTTGCACCAGAGCACCCTCTGTTCCCTTGTATCCCTCTGATCCCCACTGGACCTTGGTCTCCCTGATAAAGAAAGAGAAATTGGTTGAAGTTATTCAGTAAACAGGGATACAACTTTATCACTGTTAGATCTTGTGTCTGAAAAATGTGCCTTTAATTAATGCAAGTTTCCTACCACTACAAGAATGCACCTACTATTTCAGCATTTATCTCATTGCCAACTAACTGCCAGCCACGTACAATAATTAAATCAAAATATAAAACACATAAACAGCACAAAGCAATACAAAGATCATTTGAAAATATTCCAAAAAACATTTTTAAAGGAAGCTATTTTTCAAATGTCAGGAAATTCTGATAAGATGCTTGCATTCTGAGAAGAATTTACAACTCATTCTGCACCAAAATTTGCACATGGTTTTCTTACTCAGAAAGCAAGATTCTTTGCACAAAAAAATAACATGTAGAAATATTCTGTACAAAAAGGGGAAATTTTGCACAAAATAAGTCCTAAACTGCAAACTAACAAATATATAGTATAACCAAAAAGAACAATAATCACAAATGATCTAACTCAAAGGTATACAGTATAGAACAAAAGGCATTTTGCACCTATTCTGTCTTTCTCTCTTTAACAGATTTTTGGTGGAAATAAAAATTGAAGAAGTAATGAAAAAATTATTTCAAGTGATGCCGGGAACACACCTTGTAAAAATCAGCAAATGACACAATAATAGTTTTATCCAGGGGCACTATCCTGCCCCTTCTTTACAGCTGATGTGGGTAGAGAAAGAGGAGATAGAGGAAACAGTGGGAAAATATGAAATGATCGCACATATCATCAAAAAAAGGCAGGGCATTTGTGTCACCTGAAAAAAGTCTACATCTAACTACAGTGCACAAAATCTGCAAAACCTCTCTGCCACACAAAAAATGGCTCCCTTCCAGATGAATGAGGTCAAGGGTGTCAAAGGACTTCCATATGGGTTTTATTGCTTAGAATCATAGAATAATAAGAGTTGGAAGAGACCACATAGGCCGACTAGTCCAACCCCCTGCCATGCAGGAAAAGCACAAAGTATCCCTGTCAGATGGCCATCCAGCCTCTGTTTAAAAGTTTCCAAGGAAGGAGTTTCCACCACACTCTGAGGCAGAGAGTTCCACGGCTGAACAGTTCATACAGTCAGGAAGTTCTTTCTAATGTTCAAGTGGAATCTCCTTTCCTGTAATTTAAAACCTTTGATCCTAGTTCTAGTTTCAAGGGAAGCAGAAAACAACCTTATGGCCTTCCTTATGACATCCTTTCACATATTTATACATGGCTATCATGTCTCCCCTCGTTTCAGATTAAAAAAACAAACAAACAAACCAAGGTGCTGAAGCTATTTTTGAAGATTCAAAACATTGGACAGATCCTTTCAATTCTAGAATTCACCACACCAATGAGATGGGTGCTACAAGACAAGTCTAGTTGGGAGTTGCTTCAACACATGACCTATGAGTTACTTACAATTCCTCCTTCCTCACCAGGATGGCCTGGAGATCCTGGATAGCCCACACTTCCCTGAAAGATAGTTATCAGGAAGAAAATTAATTTCATTTACATGACAGAGGTCCTTTCCATTTGTTTTGAAGATGGGAGGTTTTTTATGTGCTGAAATACACTCTGCTCTTTACTAACCAAATAGTACTCAAGGGATGCCCTTTAAAAAAAACAAAATGTATATTTCCATCTTCCCCAACCACATGCCACCATACCGTTTAATCTCAATCAACACTGGAACTGTTGAAGATTGGGAAACAGAATTAACTTGGTATCTGGGGGGGGGGGGGGGCAGACATTCTGTGACTCTCTGAAGCCATGAAGAATAGCAATATATTTTAATACACCTGGTCCAGAAGCATACCATAGAGTCACTCTGGAGGACCTAGGAGTGTGAGTAAGTGAAATTGTGGATATCGAATTCATGGATAAGGAGATCATATAATATTTTCAGGTAGTTGCTGCATTCATGTACCTCTGATTGGAATGATGTACTCTTATAAAATTTGAGGCTGGGACAAAAAAGGTCCAGATTAAAAATTATTACAGTTGAGTATCCTTTATCCAGATATAAAATTTCCAAAACACTCAAGATCCAAGAGTTGTCCATGTTGATAGCTGAGATAGTGACACTTTTGCTTTCTGAAGTTTCAGTGTACACAAACTTTGTGTCATGCACAAAATTATTTTAAATGTCATATAAACTTACTTTCAGACTATGGGTATAAGCAGATCTCTCTATCATCTATCTATCTATCTATCTATCTATCTATATATATATATTCTTACAAGAATTTTGTGTTCAGACTTGAGTCCCATCTCTAAGATATCTCATTATGTATGTATATTGTATACACAAATACAAATATTCCAAAACCCAAAACACTTCTCGTTCCAAGTATTTCTAATAAATGAGACTCAACCTGCACCACCAAAATATATGATGATATAAATGGTTCAAAAAAGCAGAAATGTTTTTTTTTCCAATTGAGTCAATATTTACTTGGATTTGCAAGGAAAACTTGTGATAGAGAAATTTGTTGTTCCACTATCCTAATGAAGCCTATGCAATAACTTTGAGGCACATGCAAACGATTGGAGTCTCCTCTGGATTTAGGACCACAGAGTTGGGGATTCAAGTCTCCACATTAAGAGAATATCTCAAACCACCTGATGCCTTACACCACTTTCCTATATACTTTTGCTTTTTAGGTAGCTTTCAGCATACAACTTTTGAGGGTGTCTTTTCCATTTTACAACCAAGTTTATTTCATTAAATCAATAAGTAGAATGTATGACAAAACTGAAAGATGCTACAAGAGCTCCCCACAGAGGACTGCAATAATGATTAGTGATTCATGTCTTGTTTCATTTTCAAATTGTAAAAATTTACAAGCAAAACCGACTAACTAATGGGATGTTTGGAATGACAGAAGATTTATGCCTAGCGAAGCTGGAGTTTTGATCCTTATTGCACACAGGAGATTTGAAAGGTTTCTTACATTTCTGTCTGAAGTATTTAAACTTTATAAAAGTAACCGGATGAACTATCAAAATTGGTCTTGATCCATCTTCTCATTGTCCTTCACTTATTTTTCCCCAGTTAAACATTCTGCATTCAGATCATCACTCCATTTGGTTGACTTGTTATTTTGACCTTTCATTATATCTTTGAAAAATTACAAAAATTAATGCCAGAATTGCTTTGCCGTGCACCCAAGGTACACCTCGGAATTCTGTTTAAACAAGCTGGAATAAAGAAATGATAATTAAAAATATTGTTTCAGGCAAGGCCAAAAGAGGCAACCACCCCAGTTAGGTGATACTGGGGGACAGCAATAGCAGCCCCACAGGCTGTTCCAAATCCTCTTGAATCCCTTGGGCCATTTCCCTCTTGTGGAAACATTTTGCTTCCTAATCTAGTCTTATATGTAGTGGTGGATTTTTTTATCCTGTTGAAAGATGTAAGGGAAGACATTATAGTAGGACTGAACTGTCAACCTACACAAGAGGAGATGAAGTGCATTTTTTTGCACTTCATCTTTTCTAGATCAAAGTTAGGTGACATCTTCTCCTCTGGTTCAGGAAATAAAAAGCCTTAGGTTGGCCCTGATTTCAGGGATTTCCCCTTCATAGTTAGTGCACTATGTCATGAGATCTTGTTGCCTTCTATTTTATCTTAGAGCTTGGAAAAATTACTTTTGTGGATACAATTCCCAGAATCTCCCAGCAAAGGTAAACAATGGCCATACTATGCTGATTGGAAATTCTCAGACGTTGGTCTAAAAAGTAACTTTCCCAAACTCTGCTTCCTCTATTGGAATTAGTATTGCATAAGACCTCTCTATCAAGAAGTCAGTGTAACCCATATGGTGACTTTATTTTCTTTTAAAATGTACTTTTTATCGTGTCAGAAGCAACTTCGGAAACTGCAAGACACTTCTGGTGTGAGAGAATTGGCCGCCTGCACGGACGTTGCCCAGGGGATGCCCAGATGTGGGCGGCTTCTCTAATGTCCCCGCATGGGAAGCTGGGCTCGACAGATGGGAGCTCACCCCATCTCACAGATTCAAACTGCAGACCTTCAGGTCAGCAGCTCAGCCAGCACAAGGATTTAACCCATTGTGCCACCGCGGCTCCTTAAAAATGTACTTCATCTTGTTTATTTATGTGCCCCAAGCACAGTTTGGGAATAATTTCCCTAATTAGTGTTCCCCCTTCTCTAATTTTACCTTCCTTCCAGCAAGTCCAAGAACACCTCGAATGCCATCTTCTCCATAACACTTACAGCAGACATTGCAGCATTCCCGTTCAGTAATAGTATCCTAAAAATAACAGATGCCAACCAATTATTCTTAATGTATCTATCATGAACTCAAAAGGATGCCTTTTATGTTTTTTCCCCTTTTTTCATGAAACAACTTACAAAAGCTCTCCATAACATGCTGGGGAGTTCTGGGTTTCCTATGTGCAAAGGTTCCCGATATCCAAATCCTCTACCAAACTCAATTTCCTGCAATTCGTGGAATTCCTGGAAGTTTTCCAGGCCAATCATTAAAAATGAATCAAGCCCTGAAAAACAAACAGTATTTTAAACAATTCTTTCATTTTTCAAATCTTTTTGTTTTTGTTTTGGACTTGTCAAGTTATATTTTTAATTCCCAAGGAAATGTTTTGAGAAGAAGAAAGGTGATAACTGGTGATGCCATCCTTAATGTTTCCAATACTCAACAAGTTAGCTTTATCCCAGGATTTGGGATTATGGTTTATTTTGCCCTAACAAGCCAGTGTTGTTAAAAAGTTTTGAAACAGTTTGTTGGCGGTTATTAATCATAATGCCACCTTCATACATCACATGTAACAATATCTGATTCATTTGTTTACAAGTTTTCATGAAAGGAAGAACAAATGGGAGGAGAAATGTGTTTATACTAACATTCTGTTTATTCACATTGGGGCTAAATAAACCAGGATTCTTGGTTTATTGTTGTGTATGAACATAGTAATTTCTTTACCACAGAAACTGCCAACTTAGAATATTTGCTAGAAAATGGCAGTTTTTATCTAATTATTAAAATTGCAGTGGAAAACCAGGATTTATGTATTCTCATTGCAAGATAACTTTTAATGAGAAATTTTATCCATATAACTGATTTTCACCTTTGTTACACATTATTATTATTTTATTATCATTATTCTTTGAAACACAACAAGATTAGTGCACAGCAAACAAAATCACTATGCTGGCTGTTGTATTGGATCACATGTCGGACACTTCCCAAGTGTCTAAGACTGTGTAATGTATCAGTGAATAATGTGTGCAGATTCGAGTAGGGCGACCTTTTGCAGCTGACAGATGGTAATTTTGTCACCGCCGATTGTGTTTAAGTGCAGGCCAAGTTCTTTAGGCACTGCACCCTGTGTGCCGATCACCACTGGGACCACCTTTACTGGCTTGTGCCAGAGTTGTTGTTGTTGTTATTATTATTATTATTATTATTATTATTATTATTATTATTATTTCTAAACGCTTAATGTCCAACCTATCTTTGAGACCACATCTCCTTCTATGAACTGGCGTGGTCTCTGAGATCTGCCAGGTATGCCTGTCTCTAGATCTCATCTCGGTCTCAAGCTTAGTTGATGGGGACAAGAGAGAGGGTCTTCTCAGTGGCTTTATAATGCCCTCCCTAGAGAGATTCGACTAGCCTCCACTCTCCACGTTTTTTTAGTCAAATATGAAATCATGGCTCTTAAAACAGGCCTTTGACCATGATTAGAATTTTAATGGTTAAATTCAAGGACTTAGTGGTTTGCTTCACTTTGGCACTTTGGATCGATATGTGTTTGAATAAGTCTATTCTATATCTGCAGGCACCGCTACATTTTATGGAATTTTAAATCCTATTAATATGGGTTTATATGATTTTTAATGTAAAATTGTTGTGTAAACTTATATTGTCACCATTTTAAATGCTTATATATTTGTGTATTTTATGTATGTTGCACTTCAGAGAGCTTTTGTGTGTCGCCCTGAGTCCCTTCAGGGTGATGTTGGTGGGATATAAATAAATTATTATTATTATTATTATTATTATTATTATTATTATTATTATTCCGCTATATCGCTCTTAAAGGATACATATATCTATGTATATATGCATAGAGTGTAGGAAAAGACTTATTGTTGTAAAAGGAACCATCTGTGGGGAAAAGACTGCTCCTTAGCAGAAAAAGGGCCAGGTTGTAAAACTGCCTCAAGACATTCTTGGGGGAGCTTTGGGTGCAAAAACAGCCATCTGACCTAGATGTCTCCTACAGGCCACTATTTTCCAACACCAATCTAGACATTTCTCTAAACTGTCAAATGAGTCTTTGTGACCACTGCTAAGATCACCATAGTCCTGGTAATTTTTGAATTTCTATTACATTCCGTATATACATTAGCAATTTCTGTGGCAATCCATCTACCTAAACTACACTCTATACATTTGAAAAAATAGACTGCAACACATTAAAAATTTATGTCAAATAAAACTTAGCTTATTTTTTGACTCAACACATAACTTCATCTAGTGTTTTGACACCTATGATTTCACAGTTGTTTTTATCATACATTACAGTTTCCATTAACTCTACCCAGATTGGGTTGTTGTAGGTTTTTCGGGCTGTATGGCCATGTTCTAGAAGAATTTTCTCCTGACATTTCACCTGCATGTGTGGCAAGTGTCCTCAGAGGTTGTGTGGTTTGTTGGAAAGTAGGGTTTATATATCGGTGGAAGGTCCAGATTATCCAATATGAAGAATTACGAGAGTTGTAGTTGAAAAATATTTAGGTAAACACACATCTGTGTGTTTCACAATTGCTTCCCAATTGAATTATTTTCTTAGGAAGCAGACCAGTCATTGCATAAAAAACGAGGGGGATTTAGTGTTTGTGATTCTTCCTGGGAAAAAGAGGTGAAGAGACTCTCAGGGCCAGTTCTGACCTTAACAATTTCAGTGACCATTTTGCTGGAATTAAAATCAAGAGCACTGCTAGAAAGGAAAAGCAGTTGCATTTTCTGTTTCCGCCATGTTTCAAGAGAATTTTTTTCTCAAGGGGTATTGGGTAATCCAGGCTGTTGGGATCTGCTAAAATCTGACAAGAAATGAAAGTAAACATTCCTCATTTGTTTTGTGGATACTTTTTAACAGCTGGTTAATTTTCTCATTTCCATATAACTCCTCAAATAAGTACACCCAAGGTACAATCATGTCAAATGTCTGGCAACATGTTTTAGTACTTTCAAATATTCCTTAACTGACATTTCAAGATCACTATCTCCTAGGGGATCATATTGAATTACTGTTATTTCTGGACAAAATCAATGTATGTGATTTATGCATCATATCCACTAGCACTCCTACCATATTGTGTGTGTGAAGCAGGGGACTGGTGTCCTGCAAAACTTAATTTTTTTCCTCTTATACCACACTCAAACAGCTATCCCAGTGAACAAAATTCCAAAGTCTCTCAAGTTTTTGAAGCATTGCCAAATTTGCAGATTTAATATAGGCAACTGTGTGTTTTCCCTAAAAACAATCTGTGCTAACTGACTGGCATTTGAGGTATACCTTGCATATGAATGTAGCACTTTTCTTTGTTAAGAGAAGATCTAAACAATGGTGGCTGTTGGCTGAAATGTCTATGAGGCAATGAATTGTCTCTAGACATTAATTTAATTTTCAATGGAACCGTCTACAGTGCCAAATTTGTTGAAGCACCACTATTCAGTGCCCTAAAACTTGGAGTGGACTCATCATCCCCTTGACATGCAAATCATCAGTCACCACTAGATAAAGGGTAGGAGGAATAAACCAGGCAAGCAAAAAGCAGTAAAATCATTCCTTGTTCCATTCCTGGATTTGCCCTACACATAAGCACAACTTTGCTTTTGGATACCATGTCCCCTCGAGGAGAGAAGGTGGCCTACGCCACTGGAGAAATTGTACTGTTTAGCTGGTATTGCACCACCTGACATTTGCCGGGAAGTAGCAACCAATAGTGAAAGGGCCAAGGCAGTGACATCACTATTCCATGCCCTGTTTGGATATCAGCCAGCACTCCAATGACTTAAATCTAGAAATTGTTTTCTAAGATCTGCACAGACACTTGCTGGAACACCCCAGCAAGCAAGAGTCCAAAAGTGGCAGGCTAAAACCCAGAACCTCAATCAATGGCTGATACTAAATGAGAGACTCCTCCCTGGGCACACAGAAAACTGGGTGACTTGGAAGGCGCTGAACAGACTGCGCTCTGGCACCATGAGATGCAGAGCCAACCTTAAGAAATGGGGCTACAAAGTGGAATCCACGACATGCGAATGTGGAGAAGAGCAAACCACAGACCACCTACTGCAATGCAACCTGAGCCCTGCCACATGCACAATGGAGGACCTTCTTGCAGCAACATCAGAGGCACTCCAAGTGGCCAGCTACTGGTCAAAGGACATTTAATAGAATACCAAGCCTGCAAACTTTATGTTTTATTTGTTTGTTTTTAATGTAATACAAGTGTTTTTGTAAGCTTCTAACACAATAAATAAATAACTTTATTTTTGTGCCCCATCTCCATCTCCCCAAAGGGACTCGGGTCAGCTTACATATGGCACAATGTGCTTAGAACAACACATAAAATAAGCAAACCATAGACCACCTACTACAGCGCAACCTGAGCCCTGCCACATGCACAATTGAGGACCTCCTTATAGCAACATCAGAGGCACTCCAAGTGGTCAGCTACTGGTTAAAGGACATTTAATAGAATGCCAAGTTTGCAAACTGTATGTGTGTGTGTGTTTCAAATACAATACAACTGGTTGGCTTGCTCCTGACACAATAAATAAATAAATAAAGTTGTTGTTATTATTGTTATTATTATTATTATTATTATGTCTGCTCAGTATTCTCATACCTTTCCGGCGAATAACATCAAGTGTTGTTTTGAGCATTTCAACACTGTCATCTGGCCCATCAGTAAACACCAACAGGACCTGTGAGAACACAAGATAGGTGAGGAATCCACTCCAGATTCTCTGGAGACAGGAAGAAACAAAAACTGAAAGAGGTAATTGTTACTGAATCTCTCTTTGCCATCTCAAATCCAATCTGGTAACCTAAGACAGAAAGCTTTGCTTCTGGAGTGGTTCCAGGGCCTCAAGCAACTTAATCTTGTTCTGGTTAGAGCTATGCTGGCATTACCATGATCGTACTATGGAGGTTCTGCATTTGGCCAAAGAAATCGGGAGCTAAGTAGAAACAAACACACACTCCTGTTCTATCCTCATTTACAGTTTCAGTTCAGACATATGTCACTTCCACTCTACACTATTATAGCACTTAAACTGCCATGGTTGCATCTTATGGAATCCTAGAGTTCATTGTTTAGTGGGACCAGAGCTCTGTGACTGAGTCTAAAAGTCCAGCTTTCAAAGGATGGCGTCTTGCTAATTAAAATTATATCAAAGAGCTACAAATTGGGCTTTGTGAACAAGACCCCAGACTCTCCCAACTATAACACCACATTGTGTCCATCTTGGCAAACAATGCTGACATAAGCCATTGCATGTGATCAAAGCCATACTTGTTTATGTAAACCTTGGTCATATGCCAAAGGTCTGGTCACTGAGTTATTTGTGGGCTGATGGATCAGCTCCATCTCTACTCCCTCCCCACCATTAGGCAATTTCCAAATTAGACACTACTGAATTCTCTGGTTCAATTTGGTTGACATTTATTGAACAGGACCCAGTATTGCCACCATAGCACTAGCACAACCAAAGGACAAGGTTATGTCCTTTAACATGTTTACTCAGACTTCTTTTCTCACAGTATATAAATCCTCAGATGCCTGGAACAAAGTAAAGAATGATTCCATTGAAACTGACTCATAACCAAATGCCTTTTCCACCATCCAAAACCACAAGAGACACATGCTTACCTTCACTTTGGCAGAAGTCAGACTCAGAGACTGATCCCAAAAGGACTGAAGGAAATCTATATTCAAATAAGTATCCACCATGGTTTGCACAGCCAAGAATTTCTGAATGATCTCATCATTATATGGTTCAAAGTCAGAGTCAAACAAGGACTGTCCATTTCTTGAAAAAACTTGATACCTGAACCTGATGGAAGAAGCAAGGCTGCAACTGATATTGATCATTGGGGCCATTTGCTGCATAAGCCAGGGCAAGTAGGTTTGCATTTTTTGTTTCAAATGGAATGCAGATGGAGACCCCACTTGCTCCGAAATATCAAGTCCTACCGAAATGTCTATGTTGCAGTCTGTTAAGAGGGAACAAAGAAAACAGGGAACACAAATAAAATAAATAAACTTTATTTATTTATGAAAAAGATCTTGGAGTCCTCGTGGACAATCAAGTTAAACATGAGCCAACAATGTGATGTGGCGGCAAAAAAAGCCAATGGGATTTTGGCCTGCATCAATAGGAGCATAGTGTCTAGATCTAGTGAAGTAATGTTTAGACCACACCTGGAATATTGTGTCCAATTCTGGGCACCACAATTCAAGAGAGATATTGACAAGCTGGAATGTGTCCAGAGGAGGGCGACTAAAATGATCAAGGGTCTGGAGAACAAGCCCTATGAGGAGCGGCTTAAGGAGCTGGGCATGTTTAGCCTGAAGAAGAGAAGGCTGAGAGGAGATATGATAGCCATGTATAAATATGTGAGAGGAAGCCACAGGAAGGAGGGAGCAAGCTTGTTTTCTGTTTCCTTGGAGACTAGGATGCGGAACAATGGCTTCAAACTACAAGAGAGGAGATTCCATCTGAACATGAGGAAGAACTTCCTGACTGTGAGAGCCGTTCAGCAGTGGAACTCTCTGCCCCGGAGTGTGGTGGAGGCTCCTTCTTTGGAAGCTTTTAAACAGAGGCTGGATGGCCATCTGTCAGGGGTGATTTGAATGCAATATTCCTGCTTCTTGGCAGGGGGTTGAACTGGATGGCCCATGAGGTCTCTTCCAACTCTATGATTCTATAATTCTATGATTCTATGATTTATAGACCGCCCTATCTCCCTGAAGGGACTCAGGGCAGTTTCCAACAAATATGGCAAACATTAAATACCCAAAGAAAAAACATACAAACAGCTTACATCAGGACATAAAACAACATAACTATAACTTAATAATCAAAATAGCAAAAAAATAAAAATAAGAAATAAAACAAAATTAAAGTAAAAACATCATAAAATACAAAAAACTGATAAAAAACACTAAAAATAAAATATAAAACCGAATACATTGAACTCTATCAGACGAGGTTTAACAATAGCAATGGAGTGCTAAAATGGACCTAATAAATTAAAAGGGGCTGAGTGAAGGATAGTGCAAACAACGTATCATTGGGCCGGGGAAGCGTATGAAGAGCAGAACAGAGGACTATCTGACAACCTAGGGACTGGGCTTAGGGACTGTCATTGTGAAACAAAAAGGCTGAATTGAGTCTCATTATTGAGAGAAAGGTGGGATTTAAATGTCAGATACATTGAAGTTTAATTTAATTTGGAAATGTAGGTCAGCAATTTGAGGGTGCATTATCTTTAGCAACCAGCCATCACATGGTAGTGGTATAGCTAGGATGGGTTGGGGAGGGAGAGCTTTACCTTCCGAAATAAACATTCTGTTTTGCATTGAGAGTTTTCTTTAGTTTTCTTTAGTTTCTAGTGTTGTAGAGAACGAGGCACCGAAAATCACACATATTTAGAACCCTTGCATATGTTTGCATTGACTTAATATATTTGCATGCCCTTCCTCTTTTTTTTGGATGCCTAAACTGGATTTCTAAGTCCTAAACCAACATTTTAACTGGTTGTAATACTAAAAATTTGCAGAGTGAAGGAACATTTCATAGTAACAGAATTGTTCATTGGATGGGCTTTGGGTCCAACCTATCTTTGAGACTGAATCTCTTTCTATGAACCAGCGCGGGCATTGAGATCTGCTGGGAAGACCCTTCTCTCAGTCCCACCACCATCTCAAATATGGTTGGTGGGGACAAGTGGTCTTCCCAGTGATGGTGCCCCGGCTCTGGAATGCCCTCCCTAGAGCAATCAGCCCAGGGCCCTCACTTCAAGCCTTCCATTCCAGTTTTAAAACATGGCTTTTTAAACAAGCCTTTGATATTATGTAAGTTTTTTTGGATTTGTCCAAGGACTTACTGTTGGCGGCACGTCGGCACTGGGCTGTGTCAATTGAAAACTACTTGTTTGTATCTGCAGCTATGACTGCATTTTATTAATTTTAAGGTTTTACATCATCATCATCATCATTATTATTGGCAGGCAAGGCCCTGGCAGTTTTTAAAAGAATAAGCAGACTACCAAAGTTGACAGCCATATAGCAGGGGTTTTAAAATTGTGTTGTACTGCAGTTTTAAACAACAACAACACTGTGGGCACTACAACTCTGTACTTTTTAAGAAGAGTTCATGTATCCATGACAAAACATTCTAGAAAGGAAAATACTGAAGAGCGATCAGTAATGTGTATCCAAGAGCAGCTGTTCTGCTTACATTAGGTGAAGAGGAAAGGGAAGTACTGCCAGGTTTAAAAAACACACGTTGGGCACATTTCCAACTTTTTCCATGTTTTTAAAAGAAATGCACATTGGCTAAAGATACTAAGGGGCCGTCTAAATGCCTCATAGACCATCTGAAACCTCAGCAATATGAATTTGCTATCTTGTTTGTGTTTTTATTCACAGGTTTAGTACAGATGCATTGAAGCTTAATTTAATTTGGAAATGTAGGGCAGCAATAAAATGGCTGTTGTTTTCTTAGCACTTAAGATCTGGGAAGAAGCGGGGGAAAGTGAGAAGAATGTGTTAGTTCTCGATGTCTTGCTTTAAAAGCAATCAGACGTGTATGGATAAATTTTGTTCCAGTAAGGAAGTTCAAGATTTAATCTCTTAGCCGCAATCCCATTTCTTGTTACGGTTCAACTCCTATATTGATTCCTAGAAACCATAAACTTAACCAATCCATGCTTGTGACAATGTTGTTTGTATTACATCTTTTGCAATTTGTGGATAAATAAATATTTGCTTCATGAAGAGTTGGAAGCGACTAAATGAATAAAAAACAGCAACAGCAACAAAGTACTTGCTTGCTTACTTGTTTGCCTGTTTGGAATATAGATCTAAATACTTTCCTTATGGAAAATTAAGATAAATAATCTTATTAAAGTTGAGACTGTTTATGATGATTCATTAAAGACCAAGTTAATTGACAAAAGTACTGATAGGTCAGATACAAGGATACCTAAATATATGTGTCTTTAGGAAAATAATGCACTATGTGTTTTGTTGCAAACCACTGGTTAAGGATAATCTGTACCATAATCTGTTTGTTATTCCAGAGGCCAAGGAAAAACCACTAGGAGGTGCTGCTGTGTCATTTTCCTATTCACATTTTTATTAATGCTTGGTACAACAAACAGCCACTGCTGCTTCTGGTTGTACTTTCTGAAGAGAGGAAGAGAAGAAGGAATACAGCTGGGTTGTACGTGTGCTTGAATATTCCACACTTGCAACAGACTCTATTTATCATGACTCAAACAGCTCAGCTAAGAGCAACCAGGATCATCGGAGGGAAAGATGCCTGATCTAAAAACTTTCCAGCTGCTGGCCTTTCTGGGACTCTTTTTAGTTCCACATCTGTTTTACCAAGGCCTGTGTAGTCTCCCATTTCCCCTCATTATCCTTGCCTACCATAAAAAAATAGTTTTATTAGGAGAGACTGGAATATCAGGAGAGAACTACAGAAGTTCATATTGTCACTTCTTATAACAACAGGTTCAGGGTAATTTCCGCTTGTGATACTATGGATTTCTAACACGGAAAAGTCATAAGGTATTTTTCCTTCGATTCTGGGAATTATACTCCAAAAATGACTTTCCCATGCTCTGCAAAAGTTACTCCTGTGACAGTGTAATACACTGGGATTTGCACATACGCCTGCTTGCACCTTCAGTGATTTTCTGCTGAGAATCTCAAAGAATCACCATCCAGTCCAACCCCCTATCAAGAAGCAGGATTTTTTCATGTGCTGCAGAAATGCAATAAGGTTTTTCGTGTGCTGCATAAATACAATAGACTAAATGGCACTTCAAACCCATATTGGTTTGAGCTGGAGCACACCAGGATGGCCACTCTTGTTATCACAACAACCCATTCCTAAAGTGCTTCAAAAAACCTGCAAGTGCTTTTAGCTTACTGCAACTGCCGTGATTTGCCTCCTCTCAATCCTCTTCATTCATGTTCTCCTTAGTTCCCCAGAAGAATTGTGGAACTCTCAAAATCTAATGAGTCTGGGTTTTGCATTTAATTATTTCTGGAATTTCACAAGCGCTGTTCCTCTACTTTAAATATTAATTTTAAAAAGGAAATACGCATTTTGCAATTACTAGCCTTTCCTTGTTTTGAGTATTCTGCAAGGTAGAAATCTACTTCTCATTTCCAAACCAGCTTATTAACATCTAGTTTCCAAATTGCTACTATGTTTGCAAAAGAACAAAGGAAGGTTGGAAAACAGTACAGAAATGCCTCCTAATCAAGAATGGAAATCTCTATAACCGTTCTGCAAAAAAAAATTGAAAAAGAAAACAAATGAGGTGAAATAGAAAAATCATGGCTTTGCTCATCAAATGTTTAAATGACAAGCACTATGGCCAATTAGAAGTGAAGCAGTTCAAAGTGACACTTCCAATACGTCCACAATGAACCATCACAGTCCCCCAATCCTCTGTTGAAGGGCTTTTGGATTATCACACCATTTGAAAACATTTTAAACACAGTTTCAAAGCACTTTCATCTGCTTAAGGATGGGCATTCCCCATTTTCTGAAAAGTACTCCTCAAAACGAGTTGAAGGTTGGTTTGGAGTGATTCAACAACATGCAATAGGAAGCACTTCAGTTCATGACTGGAAGTGTCAAATCCATGTCACAAGCTGCATGCAATAATATCCAATGTCACAAGTGGTAGACCAATGAAAGCAGATTCACCTGGACCTGTGGTAAGCTGCTAGGTGACAAAATGCCTACACTTTGTAAACCAAGCAATTTATTTTCTCAGTGCACAATTCTAGCTTTTATTGCATTGCTCACCAGATTGTTTTCAAAAGGATAGTTCAATTAAACACTGCAACTGATATATGTTTTGCATTTAGTTGGCTGGCTGGGTGGCCAGGGTCAACCAATAGTAGCTAATATTTTGTGTTTCTTTGTTTCTTTGGACGACTTTATCTGGATTTTTATTTGTCATGC